ATTATAATACACTTATTACACCTAAGCAACACTAATAAATTTCTCTATCATCAAATGTTCAATGCCTAAACACAGCATTATTTCTTTTCCTCACTGATGATTTGTTTACATTAGTGCTCCATATTGTTTATCCCAATCTGTAGGACTGATATCCTCTCATAAAACATGAAATCTTTTAAAGATATGGCTAACCCACCTTTGTGGACAGTGTGGCTGGAGAGTTGCTTTGTACTGAAGGGACTGAAAGTGGCTAACAAGAAAACTGAAAGCCAGTTGGGCAAGATGGCTTAGTGGATAAGTGTGCTTGCTACCTAGTCTGACTACCTGAGTTTGATTCCTGGGGCCCACCAACTCCCACAGTTTGTCCTCTAACATCCACTGGTACACCATGGAACAAAAGTGCTTGCCTTCAGTAAGTAAAGAAATGTAATTAAAAAAAAAATTAAAACCTAAGCTGCAGGCTTGTGTAAATCAAAAGTTTCATGAGAGAAGATTACAGATACAAAATAGAATCATGCAAGAAGCTAAGAATGCATGTTAGGACATGCAAGATTCATGTAGGGTAATATGTAAATTGAAACCTGCTTTAGAAACACTACTCAATGTCCACAAGGTGAAGAAAACAATTATTTCCACTCCTGAGGGGATACATGAGTTCCTTACAAGTATTTTCTGATTAAGACATTGCTTTGGAGGCCCGAGGCCCGGGGGTGTTCAGTTGGTAGAGTGTTTGCCTAAGGAAACCTGGGTTTGGTTCCCAACACTGCAAACCCAGTGTGGTGGTGCATACCTGTCATCTCTGAACCTGGGAGGAAGAGGAAGGAGAACTGTGAGCTTGAGATCTTTCTTGGCTACATAGTAAGTTGGAGGCCAGCCTGGGTTACATGAGATCCTGTCTCAAAATCAAACAGAAAAGTTAATTCTGAACTCTGAAAGGTTAATTTTTGAAGCTTTGCGGTGAATGTATTCAGAAGGGTTCTGTCTGAATTTACTTTATACTGAGTGCACTTAGATAAACCTGGTTTCACTGGGCTACAAACCTATATAGATGCCCCAGTTTGCCTGGCACTGCCAGTTTTGCCTCTTATCCCCAGATCCCATCTCTCTAACACTCCCTTTCAGTCTTAGGAGTGCCCCAGTTTTGAGGCTAGCCAGAAAGTATCTTGCAGGTCTAAGGAGGCCTTCCCAACCCATCCGACTCCCAGAATCACAGGCTCCTGAAGCCATCACATCTCAGGGTTTCTATGGCTTTCATGAGGCACCATGACCAAAGCAACTTGGGGAAGACTTCTGCCTCACTTTTCATTGCTGAAGTGAGTCAGGGCAGGAACTGAAACAGGACAGGAACCTGGAAGCAGGAGCTGATGCAGAGGCCATGGAGAGGTGCTACTTACTGACTTACTTCTTATGACTTGTTTGGCCTGCTTTTTCACAAAACCGAGGACCATCAGCTCAGGGATGGCTTCACCCACAATGGGCTGGGCCCTTCCCTATCAATCAGAAATTAAGAAAATGGTTTACAGACAGATCTTATTGAAGTTCCCTCTCTAGCTTGTGTCATATTGACACAAGACTAGCCAGCACACAGCACAACACAGACTCGTGTGATTGGTTGCTGAGTGTCTTTTCTGTGGATCTCTCTATAACTCTTGAAATGGGTGGATCCTTGAAATGGGTGGACACTTTGCTTATAGTAATACCAATGTGAACATCATGACTGGTGTGCAAAGCCAACAAATCTGGCACATTTGAATAAGGTACCATATTTTTAGAAGAAGACCCACTTTAGACTCTCAACAGGAAATCCTGTCATAGTCTAAGGGACATCTGGTCTGGCTTCTTGAGAAGTTGGCAGCTATAGTGCAAGCATACATGGATTTGGTAGACAAATAATATGTCTTTACTCATTGATCCTTTGATAATCTCATGCCAAGATTTCTCTCTAAAAAACCATTCTGTCACCAGTACTCTGTGGTTCTAGTGAGGCTGGCTGAATTTAACCCTAGGGATGGATCATGTGATCTATCCATCGTATTCCCTAGCCCCACTGATAAACTCAGGGAGGGATACACAAGCCAGCTAGAGATATTTTTACTAGGGAATTTTCTTCTGAAAATGCTTAAAAGGGTTTTGGACATTGATATGACCATCTTGTCACTACACTGAAACAGAGTGAGAAGCCAGCAGAACACAGAGTTCTGTCTATGCCACAAGTGTCCTGATGCACCCATGTCTTAAAGTCAGACACTCTTGGACTTTTTAGTATCTGTGAACTATGTATTTTCATTTATTCTTTCTGACACGTGGTTTCACTCTATAGCCCAGGTTGACCAGGATTTCACTCTGTATCCCAACCTGGCCTTCAACTCTTGGGAATCCTACCTTAGCTTTCCAAGTGCTAGGGTTGCAGGTGTGAGCCACCATGCCCAGCTGCAAGAACCATTTTTGCTGAAGTGACGATAAGCTGCATTTTTTAAATTAAACTTTTTCATTTTTTACATGCCAACCAGCTTCTTATCCCTCCTCTTTTCCTGTTCCTTCTCCATACCTCCCATATATCTGCCACCCTCAACACTCCCCCTCCATTTAGAAAGGGGCAGGCTTCCTGTGGAGTCAACAAAGCATTTCATACCACGTTAAGATAGGACCAAGCTTCTCCCCTTGCATCAAGGCTGGGCATGGCATCCCTGCATGGGGAATAGGTTTCAAAAAGCCATGAACTGGTTTTCTATACTTAACTGCTACTAAGTTTCAAGCTCTTAAACCCTTTGCTGCTCAAACACCGGCAATGCACAAGCAGTAATCCAAAAAGTTTTCAGAGCAGAGAGTACATTACTTTAGGCGCAGACACATGCCTTTCCTGTGCCCAAACATCAATACATTTTTTTCTGGTGTTCAAATTCAGTCCTTTCATTTCCTTATGAAAGTTTGGGTTAGAGATTGGTTTTAATATAGAGTTGGTCAGAAAGGTTGACATTTTCTGTGAAACAAGGAATCTACTGAAGAGATTGCCATGTGTAGGAAACATCTTTTTGGAAAGATCTGCTTCTTGGAAGTTGCAAAATATACCTCTAGATGACAAAATGATCATTTTTTTCCTTGAAATTGTTGGCAATGAACCAAATCAGTTCTGGACATTCTCTTAAGAAACAGACATTCCTGCCAGCTATGAAAATGCATTTGAGAAGTTTAGGCAGGAGGCTTATGATTTTGGGGCCAGGCCAGGAAGAGCATGTCTTAATGAGAACATAATGAGAGCATGTCTTAAAAAAAAAAAAGCTCAACTTTTAGAGTAGCTATTTTAGGACATTATTCTTGAAAAAAATTAACCAGAAAGATTACTGAGACTATTCTTATTTTGTAACAACAAAACCACAGCATCAGAATGGACAGTATCACTTAAGAGAAGTCTGTGGAAGCGAAACAATCCACCTGGGGGACAGTGGGACCCTGAAAACATTCTGAGGCAGGTGAATTCACATGTAGGTGAGCTTTGCTCTAAGGGTTCTAAATGGCCCTTCTGTGGTTGAAGAATAGCCTAGGAACTAGGAAACCTGTGATTAAGTTCACATCTGTAATCCCAGGACTAAGGAGGCTGAGGCAGGATTGCCATTTTATTAATGCTAGTTCAAGACCATCCTGGGCAATATAGTGAGTTCCAGCCAGGGCTTCAGAGTGAGACTTAGTCCTCTACCCCACAGTCTCACAAATCCACAGTCTCTCTCTCTCTCTCTCTCTCTCTCTCTCTCTCTCTCTCTCTCTCTCTCTCACACACACACACACACACACACACACACAGTTACCAGTCCCTCATTGATTTTGACCAAGTCTTTTTAACCTCTGTGAACTTCAATTTTCTATAAGATTAGGCTTCAAGATTGTGATCTAATAATTTGGCTACTCCCAATCTGTTCTTTTTAAACAGGAAGATTTCTGTGAAAGTCATAAGTGTCTACAATGCCTTGCATTGTTAGGTACTCTGTACTCATCTCATTTAATACTTCTTTTTTACAACTGAAATTAAATGTCGTCCAGGAGCCACGTGATGGCCAAGGTAAGGGTTCTCAATCAGGGCTACTTGCTTTCTCCAAATCTTTTCATAGTTTGCCATCTCCCTCAAGGAACAAAGCATAGCATTTTCTTTAGAGCTCCAAAAAACGTATAGATTCTAAAGCCACTTAATTTATGGCTCCCCTATAAACTATTTTCAGTTGAGCAATAATGAGCAATTTTTTGTTTTAAATGTACAATCTTTCCCAAGCTTGCTGCTGGGCCTGGGAATTCGGAAGCATCCTAAAACGCATGTTGTTAGGTTATGTCCCTGTAGACTGAGGATTGAGTGGGCAATTATAAATCACGAACAGTTGACCTGAAGGGAAGGAACACTAGGTGGATACCCTGGCCTGACTCATCTGATCTCTAGGATCATCTTCCAACCCAATAAGCTCCCCGGTTACCATTTACCGATAATTCTCTCAGGATCGGATGATGCCTCTATCATTTCAGTCTTACTTGCTGATAATAAGCATCATTCTACTGTTTATCTAGCGTGTATTCACTTACAGGTCATCCCAGCTCTACCCGCGCCTGGGAAACAGAAACTACAGTCCCTGGGAACACAGAAATAGTAACTGAGTCATCAGATGCAGGAGGCAGATACCATTATCTCTCCATATGAAACTACGGAGACTAAAAGATGCAGCTGCAATAGGGTGTAAACGTGAGCATCTTTCAGTTCACCAGGGAGGCACGGCCTCGGCGCATACTCTGCTACTGAGTGGCAGCCCCGGAACACTGTAGCGAATTCCTAGAGGTTAGTGTGAGCCCGGAGTATCCAGGGAATAGGAGCTAACGCCAGCGCCAATATGGCCGAGCTGCATCACGTGGGCCAAGGGGAGGGGCCCAAAGACCGTCCAAAAGAAGTCGCGGGTCACGTGGCACACAAGGGGCGGCGCCATGCGGGGGCGTGGCTTGACCTCTCAGCCGCCCAGGCTGAGGTTGCTCGCGGGCCACGCCCCTTGAGCTCCGAGGGACTCGCGTGCGTTTAGTGGGGCGGAGTCTTCTTCGTGACCTTTCACCCCAGCATGGCTGCGCCCTTGGGACCAGTGAAGTTCTGGAAACCCGGTAAGGCACGGAAGGAAACCTGGGTCGATTCGTCGACGTGACTTTGGGCTTGGGAACCTGCCAAGGGCCTGACCGGGGAGGGCTGGGCATCACCCGTCCGCGCGCGGGGATGCTGCAGCCCACGGTGGTCCGGAGGAAGTCAAGGCCTTCCAAACCTGGGCGGACAGTCCCGCGTGACCTTGTTCGAGTCCCTCAGCCTCCTTGGCACGTCTTGAGATACGGAGTCGCGAAGCGCCCACGTGTGTCTTGCTGCTGCCCTGGGGCCCCAGTGGGGCTCGACAGGCGGTGCAGCTCAAGGTCTTAGGAACTTGGGGTTGTGGAGTCAGTGTCCAGGTGGAGTCGGCCTCTGCCTTGCTGCAGTAGATCGAGGACGTTGAGCGATGCATTCAGCCGCTGTGAGCATTGGTCCCCTCACCTGTGATGTGGGCGGATACAAACACCTGTCCTGTGGGCGTGGAGTCAGGAGTCGGGCTTAATGGCTCATAAAAGGGAAACTGTGTTCCAGTGTTTCAGCCAAGGGCTTGCCCACTCTGAATGTTTACCACAAAGTGAACGCCCTCTTCTCTAATGGCTATCACCTCTTTTTGTCTTGCAGGCTAGTAAGTTACCATCACAGTATTATTTGTTTTCACATTTTCTTATTGGCCAGGTTTTTATTGAGTGATACATATCAGGCTATGCTCATGTAGGGTAATTCCTTTTGTCCATGCCTTTTATAAAACAAACCAAACAAACACCGGTTTCAGTCCTCACCCTTACATTTTCTTAAATGTTTTTCTTTTTCTCCTCCACCTGCACCACAGAAGGTCTGGATGTGTACATTATATTGTAATGAAAATGATTTGAGACGGAAAAGGCAATGGCACAGCTTTTAAAGGCTTGGGTGGGCCCCAGAATTCCGACCATGAGCCTAGTGTTAGAGAAATAAAACCAAGCAAGTGACACACTTAATTCTTTAAAAACAAAACAAAACACAAAACAAAACCTGAACTGGGCATGCTGGCCCATGACTAATCTTAGCTCTTGGCAGGCAGAGGCAGGAGGATGTCTGTGTTTGAGGCCAGTCTGGTATACATTCCAGGACAGCTAGAGCTACAAAGAGAGATTCTGTCTCAAAAAATCCCTTGGTGACACTTTCATGGTTCAGTGTTTCCAGGCATCAGTCAATTGTCCATCCCATTAAGTAATGAGCTACCATTTACTTGTTCAAGAGTTTATCATGTGGTACCAGGGTACCATTTTGGTTAAAGAACCTGGAATTACTCTTAGAGTCTGTCCCATTGTTTAGTCCTGTAGTCAGGAAGGCAGGTACACACGCCTGGGGCCCTGCTCTCAAGATGTGCTCTCACAATTGATTGTGAAGTTACGTGTCCTTTGGAACAGATTCTAAGCAAGGCAGAAGAGGGGTGTGATACAGAAGATAGGTTCAGGTGAGGGATTGCAGTGTCTTCCCAGCCTACCACTTATTAACTTGCTGACTTACAGAGTCACGTTACCTTATTGGTAATTTGTCATAAGAGGATTACTGTGAGAAAAAAACTCTTGACACTAGATACACAGCTATTATAATTGTGTAGAAGAATAGGAGAAGGGAAGACTGAGTGTGAAGAATTGACTGCGTCATGGAAATGGTGGTTTTGGAGTGAACTCTGAAGGATGAAGAAAGTTTGTTATGGTTTGTTTATGGTGAGGTAGGGAGTGGTTCTCCAGGCCATTGAAGGTAGGATTTGTATCTTAAGGATGTCCCTAAGTCCCCAATAATGGAGTACTGTGATGGTGTTAATTGTGGAGATGATGCTGGAAAGGTATAAGGTATCTCATTTTGAAGTGTCTTTGGCAAGTCAAAGAATTTGGGCTTCTGGTCCAGTGAGATGGCTCAGCAGGCAAAGGTGCATGCTGTGAGAGTCTGATGACACCAACTTGATCCCTATAACTCATACAAGGGTGGATGGAGAGAATTGACTGTACACATTTGTTCTTTGACCTTCATGCATGTGCCAAACCTTGGCATGCATGCCAATACATGTGTGTAGACACACACACACACATACACACATGTGCTAAACACTCCTCAAAATAAAGGAAGAAAGATAGAAAAAGAAAAAAAAAATATTGGGCTCATTGCTTTTAGCAGAGAATTTCCCAGGTTTCCTTTGGAATGTTTACTCTGGCAGTGTTATAGTGAAGACCATCACTCTCAGAGAGGTTGATACTGAAATCCAGGATGGATGTTGAACCTCAATTCTAACCTGGGAGCTGGCAGGAGGGGCCATTAGTCACTTTAGAGGTAAAGAGAAGAGAGCATGAAGACAGTAATAACCTCCTTGCATTATGGATAGGGCGATGGCCTAGGGTAAGTGGATCTAGGTGGGGTGACTGCCTAGTAAGCAGTTCTCAAATTTTGCTGTATTATTTGAATCTCTTGGAAAACAAAAATACAAAACAAGACAACAACAAAAAACAAACAAACAAAAACCCTTTGGTGTCCTTTTACTGTTGTTAAGAAATCAGGAACTTGCAAGCAGTATGTTTTAAACACATGGGGGGGGGGCTTCTATCATGCATCAAAGTTGGGGACCCATTGGCCCAAGTATACTATTTTTATTCACTGACATTTGAGTTGCTTGGTGGGTTCAGAGCCCTGAGCCAGTCACTTTAACTTATAGCATCTTATCAACTAGTAACATCTCTCTGATAAGTTGATAATTCTTACGGATGAACAAACTCTAGTTCAAGATACGAAATGGATTGTGGGAAAGGCAGGTCAGGGAGGTGGTTGAAGCTGAGTATAAGGCTAGATTGTGGAATCATGAGCATGCCCTGTAGGTCCAAAGTCACAGACTCAGATAACTACAGGCACTTTTAATAGACAAACTACATAAGGGGAGGTGTGTAATGGAATAATGTGTGATGGGATTAAAGGGTCTCTCATGTACAGGGAGATGTGAGCAGTGTAGATGTGTGCACTGGAACTTGCATACGTGGTACCATGATTGTTAGATGGGCACAGAGTTGCCAGTTTTGTTTTGTTTTTTAAAAGACATGGTCTTCCTCAGTTGCCCAGGCTATATTGAATTCTCTCTTAGCCTGAGCAGTCCATAACCCTGTGATCCTCATGCAGCTGCCTTCTGAGTACCTGGGGTTACAGACCCTTGCTAAGCTTGGTTCCCAAATGGGAAAAAAAGGTTGATGTTTTAAATGAATTATTTTCCTATGTGTATTAGTACATGCCTGCTATTCCAACACTTGGGAGGCTGAGGCAGGAGGATTGAACACCAAAAGCTAGCCTGTGCTGCATGGTGAGTTTCAGGCTATCCTGAGCTATACAGCAAGACTCCCATCTAACAAAACGAAACTGACAAGAAACATCTTCTCTCAAATCAGCAACAACAATAACCATTTAAAACGCTTCAGTGATGGAGACCTTAAACTACTATTTTTTGATCTCTAACTTAGAAGAGTGGTATACTAGCCTTGTGTGACGTGCCTGATGTTTTTCCAGAAAAGAATGTTCACTTTATTTGCCGGCACACGTGAATGGGTCAGAAGGGCTCTTCATTTTCCTTTACTCTCTCAGCAAGTATTTAATGGTTGCTGACCTTGTGCCTTGCAAAAACTTTATTGAGCTGCTTTGAGGATTTTTTTTTTTTAAATTGATTCATGGTAAGAATTGTGTTGTAGGGCAGGAGAGATGGCTCAGTGGTTTCGCTGTTCTCATAGAGTACTCAAGTTTAGTTCCCAGCATGCTGAGTGGCTCACAGCTGCCTATGACTTTAGCTCTAGGGGATCCAACAACCTCTTCTGGCTTCCTAGGGTGAAGGGATTCTGAGCTGGGTGCTGTTGTCAGCCTTGTTTTACAGATGGGGAAATGAAAGTGTTAATGGTTTGAGAAAATTGCAAAAAGGCTACTCCCTGAAGCATGCACACACTCCCAATTTAAAAACAGCCATAAACAGTGGGCTTTGTATAGATGGAAAGTAGCCTTGGGGTTCTTGTTTGGCTGAATGAAGTCTTTTGTAAGGAGAAGAAAAGGCCCTACGATATTGACAGCAGCTGTTCTTGTAAAAGTTCCTAACAGCTGTAGGTTAGGTTAGAGACCAGAGGGACCACCCCCAGGGGCTGTGAACCAGTGTGTGGGAGGTTGAATAGTGTTCAGATACTCCAGACATAATGGCATGGTTTAAATGTTTTCAGAAGAGGGGCATTCTGAACAAAAACAGGGCAGAAGAGGACACAGCATTCTCTGCCATAGTTTCCTTGTTTAAGAGCTCAGAAGTCAAGTTATAGCAATGCTAAGAGGAGGACCAAGAACCTGCTTCTCCAGCCCGGGCTTCCGTCCAGTCCCAGCTCCATCTTTTCTCTCACTGAAAGGAAGGATAGCTTTTTGGCAGAAGCAGGCAGCTGTACCCCACTTACATGCTCTTTGGTGGCTCTGTTCCTGGAAAAGCCTAGGGCAGGGCTGGAGACGAAGCTGCTGGAGTTCTGAAGATGACTCTGGGAGTCTGTAGACCCAGAGCTTCTTTCTGTTCAGATGGACTGTGAGGGGAGTTCCAGTCTTCATCTAACTGTCAGGGAACCCTTCAAAAGCGGAGAATTGAGCTGAGCGTGTTACCACATGCCTGTTATTCCTAAAACTTGGTGCTGATATAGGATTGGCAGTTCAAGGCTAGCCTGGGCTATGTCAGTAGACCCTGTCTTAAACCAAGATGTAAACATAAATAAAATGGAGTCAGTCACCTGGCTTAATCTCACCACAAAACAACCATATTACAGTGACTTTTTGGGTTCTGAGATCAGAAGACTTGGAAGTCGCTGTTTCGGCTGGTTGGTTATCTCTGAGATGCCCCAGTAGGGGCTGTGCAGGTGTCTGGATTTAGGATTTAGGAGGCTTTTCCTAATTCATGAGGCAGCATACTCTGTGGCTGAACAGCTCTGACTTTTAGAACTGCCTTCCTTATGTTGAGCTGAATTCTGAACTCTGCTGTCATTTCATTCATATCTTATTCACTTTAAAGGTTTTATTTTTATTTTATCTGTTTGAGTGTTTGCCTGCATGTATCTGTAGTGCCATCCACATGTCCAGCGCCTTTTGGCTTCTCATTGTGCATGTGCCTAGTTCTCATGGAGGGCGATAGGGCCTCTGGAACTGGAGTTAATGAGCAATTGGTTGTGAGTCACCTTGTATGTGCTGGGAACTGAACTGAGTCCCTGAGGGTCAGCCTGCACCCGTGCTGCCCAGGGCCGTGTCTTGTGCTTAGAGCAGTGTCCACCATGAAGCCTTTGCAGTCTGTCTTGTTCTTGGGTGCCTAGATAACTGGTGGTTAGCTGTGGACTGAGCTCTGGACCACCGGCAGCCTGTGGAGAAACCACCCCACAGCTAGAAGGTTCTGAACTTGTCAAGAGATGAGGTGGGGGGGGGGTAGCTGTGGCAGCCTGAACCCCTGGTTCCTGCTGTCTCTGAGTTGTCCTATCTGTCAGTACTACGCTTTGTCCTTGGCCTTGACACATTCCCACTAGATTTCTTTCACTTCTGTTCAGAATTTTTTAGGAGCCAGTTTTGGACAGCCAGCCAAGACTGCCTTCTCTTCCTGTTCTAGACTCTGCACTGAAGCATTCACAGGCAGTTCTTTTGTGTTTTGTGTTCTTACAGACAGCTCCCTAGGGTTTTTTTTTTTTTTTTTGTTTTGTTTTTTGTTTTTCTTTTTGGAACTTCAAAGTTTAATATTTCTTAGTAGTTTGAAATAAAAAGTATTGTTTCTTTTGTATATCTGCCTTTTATCCTTTTTTGTTTACTACATCAGAATCTGAAAAAAAAAAAAAAAAAAAAAAAAAAAACCATTTGTGCCACAGGTACAGAAGGGCCAGGCGTCAGTATCTCCGAAGAGAGACAAAGTGTCGCTGAGAACTCTGGGACAACCATCATTTACAATCCCTATGCTGCCCTTTCCATAGAGCAGCAGCGGCAGAAGCTGCCTGTGTTCAAGGTATGTTGTGTCTCTGGTCCCATCTCATGAACTTGTTCCTGGAGGAAGGGGACTGTCACTGAATGGTTCTATAAGAGTCAAAGTGAGCCAGAGGATCCTCCATCCCATTCTAGTGTGTGTCTGTGTGTGTGTGTGTGTATGTATGTATGTATGTATGTATGTGTGTATGTGCATGTGCACATATGTGTTTGTGTTTGAGGGGAGGGAGAGGGAGTGAGGGGGAGAGAACACGTACCCATTAAGGCTGGGAAGTCCTTAAGATTTTCTTTTAGATCTTGAATATTAGGAAATAGGAAATTGCTTTCAATTTTGAATAGTTTTAGATGCAGTGACACAGTGAACTTCTGTGAATCTAGAGCCAACATGTTAACATGTGGCCAAGTTTTGCTTTCTTTTAAAAGCCATATTTAGTATAGTTTTTGATAGTTTGGGAGTCTTCCTTTGGAAGAGGTCAGTTAGTAATGTAATCCTCAAGGAAACAGTGCTGGGATTCTGGTGAGGCTCTCACACTGAGCTTTATGAGCATACGTGACATGGTACATACTCAGCTCACAAGAGACCAGAGTGCCAACTTGAGTGCATTTAAACCTCCTTGTTTGTGGTGACCCATCGTGCACACTGTTGATTGCTCTGTTGGCAGTCAGGAAGTAGGCTCAGAGGTGAGCCACATGTTGTTGGTGAACACTGCTTCCAGCCTCTGATGGGGATGCTGAGGTTTGAACTTTGCCTGCTTCAGGTGGTGTCTCTGGAATGGCTTGTGTGGTCATGGTCAGCAGCATGGATTCCTGTCTTTCTACTTAACAGAGCTGGGTGGAAGATGGCAAGGCTTATTTATTTTTGGTTTGTTTGTTTTGTTTTGTTTCTTTTTTATGCTGAGGATTTAATCTAAGATGTGTTGGGCAAGTCCCAACTCCTGACCTTTGTTGTATCCCCACCTCTTTTATTTTTTATTTTGAGACAGGGTCCTGCTAAATAGCCTAGGCTGGCCTTGAACTCACTCTGGAATCCAGGCTGGCTTTGAACTTGTGATCCTCTTGCCTCAGGCTCCTGAGTTGCTGGGATGACAGGTGTGTGCCACCAGCCCTACTAAGACAGTGTGTTCTTAGACTTGGGTTCCTTTCACTTAGACACTGCTGGTAATTCCCTCCCGCTGATGCGTTCATCCTCCACATATGTGTGTTCATCCTCCACATACGTGTGAAACAGCAGCCTTCCTAATCTAGCTAAGTTGCCCCTGTTGGTTGGTATTTTAGGTGAGAGTAAACATTTTAGTCTCTCTGATAGTGTCTGAGCTTTCCCTCAGGTGACTGCCATTATTGGTTGTATGTGACTGGGGCATATGGTGGGGTTCTCAGGACGTGAGGTGACATGCTTACCATTGCTTCCTCACCACTGAAGGGCACCATTTTTGAACCTCTATAAAAAGTCCAGATTCTGGGGCTGGAGAGATGGCTCAGCCTTAAAGGCTAGGCTCACAACCAAAAATATAAAAAGAGTCCAGGTTTTGGAGTAGACATCAGGGTCCTACCCCATTTTACCATGTGCTGGGTGACCTTACTTCACCATTGTATGCTTTCATTTCCTTATCTGTGCTATGTGTTAATAGCACCTGCCTTGTAGGATTGCTCTAAGGCCTGGACCAGGTCACCTGTGCAGTGTTTATAAGGTACCTGACCCAAAGTAACTACCCAAGTATAAGGAAGTAGGTTTTTACTGAGTATTTAAATGTTGACCTTTCTTGACTGCTCATCATTTCTGTCATATAAATGAAATGAAACCTAAATAAAAACAAGATGAATCTGTTGAGAAATAGTAGAACTAAGTATACATTACTGATAAAAAGCAAAGCAGAGCCTAAGTGCTGTGGACTCTTGTGAGATGTTAAAGATAGCTCTAGAAGGTGAGAAGGACAGTGTTGCTCCCTCAGCTTCTATTCAGATCAAATGTAAGAGTAGCTTTATGAAGTTCGTGGTGGAGACAGGCCGAGTGTGGGGATATCCTGGCCATGATCCCAGCATTGCCCTAGCCACAGTGGACAGTTGACTGAAGCAGCCACCAGTCATCTCCCCAGCCTATTTCCACGGCAGCCTCCCCTTGCTTTCCCACTATAGCCATCATTCTCTCTGAGGTGTGGGCACTGCTGTGAAAGATGTCTTATGCCTGCCAGCTCCCTGTTTGAAGTTCATGGCTGTCTTCATTGGCATTCCCAGGTTTACTAAGCCTGGTAACAGTACTTCCCTGGCTCTCCCTGTCTCCATACCAGCCATCTTCTTGTACTGTCTGTCTATGGTAGGCTAAAACACATGAAGCTAGAGTCAATGCCTTTTTTTCCTATCTGGATAATCCTGTGTGCTGCTGTTTGATTTTTTTCTACAAGTGCAGCACCCTCCTGTGCCTTCTAGGCTGAGTCCAGTTTCTAGCTTTGCAATCCAGGGCCAATGGCCTCCCAAGTTTTGGGATTACAGGTGTGCCATCACACCTGGATGCATGGGGTCTTCCTAGGTTCTGTCTTCTTCCTTCCTTCCTTCCTTCCTTCCTTCCTTCCTTCCTTCCTTCCTTCTTCCCTCCCTCCCACCCTCCCTCCCTCCTCCCCCCCCCTTTTCTTTGATTTTTTTTTTTTTTCAGATGTGGTTTCTCTGTAGCTTTGGCTGTCCTGGAACTTGTTCTGTAAACCAAGCTGGCCTCAAACTCAGAGATCTACCAACCTCTGCCTCCGTAGTACTGGGATTAAAGGTGTCAGCCACTACATGGAGCTTTCTTTTCTTTCTTCTTTTTTAATAATTACAATTTATTTGTTTATTTATTTATTGTGTGTGTACACATGTGTGCAGGTTCCTGGGTTCTACCTGGCTCTACTGTTTAGAAACCTTCATGGTAGAGCTAGGAGTCTTCCGTTTTAAGAAATGTTCCCAGAAGACTTTCCCATTAAGGCCTGAGGACTGCATATCTACATCTGTGTATAACTAATTCAGATGCCCCGAATAACCAGGACCTTGGTTGCTGGATAGAGCTGTCAGCATCCCTCCTCTCTGCCCACCAAACACCTCAGCAGTGTGGCAACAGATGAGCTGAAGCCTGATCAGAGAGGGAGCCCTAGGCAGGTATCCTTCCAAACGAGGCACAGTAGAGAACCTCTGAAATCAATCATGAGTTCAGAAATGCCTTCTGACACTAAACAAATAGGACACTAGGGTTTTCTGGGGGCTTTTTAGTGGTCACTCCCATCCCCACTGAGTGGTCTCAGGAGGCTCAGTTACCTGTGGATGTTTTATTGTGAACTTTGGTTTTAATATTTTTCCATGCTAATAAATAAGATCAAATTTTTAATAAGGTAATGCTAAGTGTTGTTCTTTACATCCCTTTTCTTACCCTTTTACCCTCCTTACCATCACTGTTATTTCCTTTCTTTAAAATACTAGTAAGTACTAGGGTCCTAGGAGATACTCAGTGGGAAAAAGCATGAGGACTTGAGTTCGGATGCCATCCCCACTAGTCTGTTCCTTCTTTCTTAGTATATCTTGTAGGCATTTGCTCTTCTAAACAACCATTATTGAGAGTGTTTCATAACTGATTTAATCACACACCTGTTGTGATGAACATTTAGGCTGTTGAAGTTTTGGCTATAATAGACAATTTTGGAATAAGTATGGTTTATATACTTTTTTGGTGTGTTTTTGAGACAGGGTCTCATGTAGCCTCGCTTGGCTTTGAACTTGTGATGTAGCTGAAAATGACCTCAAAATCCTAATCCTCCTGTCTCTACTTTGTAAGTATTGGGATTATAGGATTGAAAAACCATGCTTGTTTTTTTTTTTTAATACTTGGTGTGTGTGTGTGTGTGTGTGTGTATAATATGCTTGCAGTATTGTGCATGTTAATATGCCTACAATATTACGTCTTAGAGGTGACAGTCTTTAATTGGAGAGTTGAGAATGTTAACATACTCTTCAAGGGTTTGTACATACCTTGGCTCAGGCTGACACCAGTGGCCCTTGAGAGTTGGAACCACATTTTAAATAGTCCTTTTTGAAAATTCACCTTTATCTGGAAACAGTTTATTTTACAGAGCTTAAGTATGTTTGCTTGGGTCTCCTGAGACAGAGCACGTTTGCTTACAGTGTCTTTTTACTTTCCTCCCAGCTTAGGAACCACATTTTGTACTTGGTGGAAAACTATCAGACCGTGGTGATTGTTGGAGAAACAGGATGTGGGAAGAGCACCCAGATTCCGCAGGTGAGTACACATTAATATTCTTCCACGCAGATTTGAGCTGGGAGGACGTGGTAACTTGGGGATGCTCTTTCCTGTCATTCCACGATCAAGGTCTCCTCCCAAGAAACACTCTTCTCAGATGTTTTTTTGTTAAACTGAACTTATGGTTTTTTATTAATAGTAAAGTTACAAATAGTAAAGTCCCAAAATTGTAAGAGTGGCCCTTCTCTGAAAGGAACAGTGGGGACTCATTCAGAAATGTGCACTATGTAGCTCTGTCCTCGGTGAATCACAGTTGAATACTGCAATAGTAGTAAGTAAACTTGGCCATTATCACACGTCACTGTGGAAGGAACTTGTCTTATTGGGAAAATGTCTACTGTGAGGTCAGAAAGGGCTTTGACTTGACAGGTGAAGAATGACAGCAGAATGACAGTTGAGTGACCAGGATCTAAGAGTCTATGCAGGCTTTTCTTCCCCCTTACTGAAGTATAAAATACACACTAGAAAGTGAGTGTATCCTGATTTTCACAAGGGGTAATCTTTGTTGCTAGCACTCAGTTCAAGACACACACAGCAGAACTCCAGAAGCCTTCTGTGGCCCCTTTAGTTTATACTTGCTACTCACACACAGGCTAAAGGGTGACTCCATTCCAGCTTTTATCACCATTCATTACTAATTATGTTATTATAATGTATTTAGCATATTACATTCTATAAAAAACGTAAGCGAATACTATAAATATGTACACATTTTTGCTTTTTTGAGACAGGGTCTCTGTAGTCCTGGCTGTCCAAGATCTAGCTATGTAGACCATGCTGGCTTTAAAATTACAGAGATCTTTCTGTGATGGTGGATGTCCTTCTGTATGCTGTGAATATATGTTTCACTTATTGGTTTATGAATAAAGTTGTTTTGGCCAATGGACAGGCAGGATGTAGCCAGGTAGGAAGTATAGGCGGCCTACCAGACTAGGAGAATTGGGAGGTGAGGAACACAGAATGAGTCTTCAGGCACACACCATGTAGCTTCTGAGGAAGCAAGAGCCTGGGCATCATGGGTAAGCCGAGACTACTTGGAGATACATAGATTAATAGAAATGGGTTAATAGAGAGCTCGCTAATAAGAAGCCTGAGCCATCAACCAAACAGTTTAATATAAGCCTCTGTGTGTTCATTTGGGACTAAACTGCTGAGGGACTAGGCAGGACAGAACCTGTACATTTCTACCTCTGCCTCCACTTGAAATTAAATCTAAATTGCATGGTATATTGAGATAATAGCTTCATGGACAGGTTATTTTCATGGAAACCACGTGTTATTCATGTAGCATGGCTGTTGAGAGGCACCTTGTGTGTGTCTGAGTGTATTCGGATAGTAGAGTTTCATGAAAACCACGTGTAACTCAGGTAGCATGGCTGCGGAGAGACAGTGTCTGTATGCATTCGGATTGTAGAGTTTCAGACTGTGTTCAGGGCTTTGATTTGCTGGGCTTGAGCTCCAGTCCTTGGGGTTTCTATCTGTTTCCTCAGACAAGTTCTTGACCTCTATTCCATTATCTGAATGTTGTTGCTGCTGCTGCTGTCTTCCTTGCCGTTAGTCATGTGGGGATATACATAAGGCACTCATGGAACTTGAGCCGTGCCCTTGTAATTCTGCCTGTATTTGTGTTGGTTGGAGTGGTTGGCAATATTTTGTGCTATGTGACTACTATGAGACATGGCAGTTTTTTATAGTGATTGCATTATGTACACCACTTTGTTCCTCGCTGTCACTTTTAAGCTTGATTTTTAACCAGTTTTAGACTCAGAGTGAAGTCATAAAAGCTAACATAGTTCCTTCTGCTCCCGTGTTACTTGCAGCACAGTCACAGGCAGCAGGCATTAGCAGTGGCCAGCGGGTGCTAAACTGTAGGTTGTGTTTAAATCCCCATCTGTTCCCCACTGGTTTCTTGTTCAGGGTCTGGCACTGTGTTCAGCTGCTGTTCATCTCTTGTGTTGTGTCCTTGGCTAGTGGTAGGTCTTCACTTCCCTCTTGTGTCCGTCACACTTTCATAGAGTATTTCTCATTTGTGTATTAGAATGGCTCTCAGTGTGGGCTTCTTCTGTTAGAAGAAGCGTGTACATGTTTTGCAAGAATACAACATAAATGGTGGTGTGCATCGCACTAAAACTTTGTGATCTATCTTGTCAGTGGTTCTCGGTTAAGGTGCCAGGAGTCACCTGTAAAGCTATGTTCTGTCCCTTCTCAGTTGATAAATATCTTGGGAAGAAGAATGTTAGCGGCAAAGCTCCTTCTCTTTAAACTTGGACCTTCTGATTCTAATATCCCCTGTAGGCCCTGTCTGCAGCCTGACAAGTCCCTCTTTCTCTACCTCTATTAGAGGGAATCTACTTTGAGAAGCACTGTTCGTCCCTCTCCTATTTACATATTTGATTACTTACATGTAGTTGTATGATTCATGTATAGCTGTGTTTTCACAGTGTGACATCCAGTACCATGTTTGTTTTGCTGCTTAAATTGTTGCTGTCTGACTGTGAGAAGCTCTTTTGCTTCTACCTTCCGTCTAAGTTTTCATTCTTTTTTGACCAGTACTGAACCTCCTGGATCCACAAGATGTGGCTTATCTTCATCTTCTGTGGTCTCTGTATGAGCTTTGTTTCCTTTTACTGGAGAAGTTAAGATCTCCCTGCTATTATGCTTATTGCTGCTGAGGTGATGTTGCTGCATCTCAGCAGGATGACTTTGGATATGAACTCTCCCGCAGCCCTCCAGAAGCAGCACCTGTCTCCCTGTATGTATCACTCTGAGTCAAGATCAATCACCAGCGGCTTGTTTATGTGTCCGTTAGATTCCAGTATACATATAACATAGTTGTAGAATTGCTACCTCCTTTCTCCATCTGGATTTTACCAACTGAATCACATTTCTGAGGGTAGTTTCTGTTCAACCTTTTGGCATCTCTATCATCACTCAGCCTCTGAGAGTACTATACTCTATCATCACTCAGCTTGGTCATCGAGGGTACCACTCTCCATCATCACTTAGTCTGGCCAGTAAGGGTTTTACTCTACATCATTACTTGGCTTGGTCAGTGAGGGAACCACTCTACATCATCACTCAGCCTGTTCATTGAGGGTACCACTCTGCATCCTCACTCAGTCTGTTCAGTAAGGGTAACATTCTTCATCATCACTTGACCTGGTCATTGAGGGTTCTACTCTCCATTGTCATTTAGCCTGGTCATTGAGGGTACCAGCTATGCTCCACCTGTGTTTCTGGTTTTGCATTATCATTTGTACAGAGAGTCATCTGTTAGTGTTTTTTTCCTTTTTTCCTCCAGGTCTTGACTGGTTCTGGCTGTTGAGTTTTGAAGAGTGCATGGAACACAGCGGGTTCTGTGTCAGCTCTTATACCGTCTTTATCCCTGTCTCCCCTCTTCAACTGCCCCTTTGATTTCTTTGCTACCTAACCCCTACAGTCTTTTTTTTTTTTTTTAATTTCTATATTATCTTTCTTTTTTCTTTTAAACTTTTTGGTTTTTGTTTCTTTTCTTGAGACAGGAATCTCTGTGTAGTCCTGGCTGTCCTAGAACTTGCTCTATGGACCAGGCTGGCCTCAGACTCACAGATCTGCCTGTCTCTGACTCCTGAGTGCTGAGATTAAAAGCATGCACCACCACACCTGGCTATTATCTTTATTTTATTTTTTTAGACCAATGAGAACTAACATGAAATTCCAATTTTAATCTTTTCTATTACAGAAGTAGTATGTCCACTCTTTTATAAAAAGAAAATTAAGTCTGATAACCAGTTGTCCATGCTGAGTTTTAATTGATTAAAATCAAATACATATGCAGAAAACATATATTTAATCAAGTTGTATTTACTGATATATGCCAATGGTATATATTTATGTATAGTTGTGAACAATTGTTTTTATTTAGCTTGACTAAGATGTGCTGTATGGTTAATATTTGATGTTTAGCTGTTTTTGTGTACTGTAGATTCTCTTTCATGTGGATTGAGCACTGGTCTCATGACTGGATAGTTTCTTTTCCTTGGCGAAGCTATATATAATGCATAGACACTCTAGGACCAGGGAGTCTTCATGTTGAATCTGACTCTTGGTCCTTCCATTAGCTTGGGTGTGAATGGGATTTCCTAACATTAACAAGTCTGAGCTCTGTCCAGCTTTAGTGTGAATGGGATTCCTAATATAAACAAGCCTGAGCTCTGTCATCTGTCACATTGCAATGTGACCTTTCTTGATTAGTTTGCACAGTGCAGGGTCACCTGGAGGGAGGGTTGTCTGGGAGAGCAGTGTCGGATATGAATCCATCTGGTTCTCCTTGGTTCTCCTTGCAGTACCTGGCAGAAGCTGGCTGGACAGCCGAAGGGCGAGTGGTTGGAGTGACCCAGCCTCGAAGAGTGGCCGCTGTGACAGTGAGTGTCTCTTTGTATTATGACTATGCCTGCTCCTTCTGTTTCCCTGATCACTTTCTTCCTGAAAAAATACAAACGAGTAGAAGTTACTCCTTAAGAATTTAGCTTCAGAAGAGCTTTTTGATTGGAAATTTCACAGAATTGATACCTGTATGTTATGAACTGTTTAGTAATGAAGTGTTTAGAGAGTAAAAATAAATGTATTTGTTTAAAGCCCAAATCAGCTAGCAGAAGCATTGGGAAAGCTTGCAAGTGTCACTCCGTGTTTCTGTCCCAAGATGAGAAGTGCTTGGGTAAGCAGCTGCAGGATGGATAGCAACACTTTTATAAGGGTGGGGTCATGACCATGCTTACATGTATTAACTATAACAAAAGAGAAAACTAAAATAGTAAAATGGGGCAGTTTTGAACTCTAGATAAACGTTTTTTTCATCACAAGAGAATTTATTAAGCTTGAAAACAGAAAAAAAAAATGACAAAAAACCTTCATAATGTTTTCCTTTTGAGGCAGGGTCTCTTGAAGCTGACAGTAGCCTGGAACTTTAAGCAATCCTTCTTCCTAAGTATCTTGAACACAGAGGAGGTGAATCTCTATGAGTTTAGGGTCAGCCTGGTGTATATTGCTAGTTCCAGACCACCTAAGGATACATAGTGACACCTTATATCAAAAAACAAAAAACCAACCTGTAACAAAACAAGCAAGTGTGAAATGCTGTACAAGGTCTACTTTTCAAATGTTTTTTATGAAGAGATGGATGGACTCCTTCCCTTCCCTCCCTTCATTGATGCACAGCACCATGATTTTCATTTTAAGACTTATTTTTGTTTGGTTTTTTGGGACAGGGTTTCTCACTTGCTTTGGAGCCTGTCCTGGAACTAGCTCTATAGACAGGCTGGCCTTGAATCACAGAGATCCACCTCCCTCTGCCTCTTGTGTGCTGAGATTAAAGGCATGTGTAAAACTTATATTTTAAAAATTATTCCTATTGTCTTATGTTTATGGATGCTTTTACATTTGTTAGTTTACCTGTGTCCATACAGTGCTCATGAAGTCTAGAAGAGAGCATCAGATTCCTCGGGACTAGACTTTGTGAGCCACGGCATGGGTGCTGGGAATTGAACCCAGGTCCTCTGACTGAGCAGCCAGTTCTCTTGACCATTGAGCCATCTTTAAAGCCCCACTTTTAGCAATTTTCTAAGAAACATGTTTGGGAATATTTGAATGTGGTCTTAATGTAAAGTTCTATGTTCCTCCCCTCGCCCCCTCCGTTTCTCTCCTAGAGATAGGGTCCAGGACCTGCTAGGCAAGTACTCTATCACTGAGCTACATGTCTAGTCCCAGTATGAAATTCTTGTTTCACTCTTTAGTTTCCTGGAAATTGCAGACTTTGCTCCTTTGTCTTTTGGTACTGAGGTCCAGTAAGGTGCCCTCCCCCACTTTTTTGGCTACTTTGTCTACTTGAATGGGTTCCTTTTCAACACCTTATAGATTGTTTTCCCCCAGGTGTGGATAAACGCTCAGCTCTCTATGTTCTATTATGGTATACTGTTGTGTTCTAGTTGTTTTATTTCTATTCTAAGCACACTGTGTAAGTGTCTCCTTTGTCTGTTTGGAGTATTGATCAGTGTCCCCAGAGTCGTGTGCTTACTAAGGACTCCCTGTAATCCTACAGTGTTGGTAGTTTGTGTCTCAGTGCTGCTGGTTGAACACAGAGCCTGGTGCTGTGGGCTAGTGCTGCATTGGATCAGGCTCCCACCCCAGTCTGTTGCCATTTTAGTCATGCTTATTCCATTTGATTCCTTTTCATCTGTACCTATATCTTTTGAGTCTTTCTAGTATAAATGCAAATGTTTAGAAGGTGAGATTATGCATTATGTTACAAACACTAAAAACAGGTAATACCATAAACATAAAAAACATTCAGAGAAATAGCATGTTTTTATTAGTTTAATCTACATGTCAGACACATTTGTATACAGTTTCCTCCCTGAATTTTGGCTGCCTTCCACTGAAGGCCTATGCACACAACAGTGATTTTCTGTTATTTCCTGTGGAGAAAGAATCACATCTGAGTCTTTTTTCTTTATAGCATGCTGACCACATGTACCTTTAGAGTGTGTGTGTGTGTGTGTGTGTGTGTGTGTGTGTGTGTGTGTGTGTGTGTGTGTGTAGCCCTGACTGTCTTAGAACTCACTCTGTACACCAGGCTGGCTTCAAACTCATAAAGATCTGCCTGTCTCTGCCACCAGAGTACTGGGATTAAAGGTGTGTGCCACCATACCTGGGGCCATACTGACTATGTTTACACTTATTTTTGATGCTAGAAAATTTCTTTGGCTTGTAGCTTGTTATCAATAGCATGACATAAACTTCTGGGATCACTATTAATTTGGGAAACCTTTCATCTTTGCTATGTCCACTGTGGGGTGGGTCTAGATCACCTCTGAAGTCTGGTTTCTGCCTGTGTACCTTCTCCATGACTTCCTTTTGATTTTACTTAACAATAGCTTCCTGTGGCTGAATGCTGTCTGTGTCCCTGTCCTCTGACCACACTTGCCATTTAGTCTTTGTTATCTTTTGAGACAGGGTCTTTATGTAACTCGGGCTGGCCTTAATGTTCATGGTCTGCCTGCCTCTGCCTCCCAAGTCCTGGGATTATAAGGTGGAGGAGAGAATGAAAGTGGAGAGAGAGAATTTAAGAAAGAGAATATAATGTTTGGAATCTGCAATTAGGTAACTTTTTATGTCACACTGAAAGATAACTCAGCTAAAACTTGGAGCAATTTTCTCTGTGTGTGGTTTGAAGTTCCAGCTCTTAATCAGTTTGCATTTTAGTTCCATGTTTGTAGCTATAGATAACATCCTATGCAACTGCAAACTCTCTCTTGATAGAACAAAGAACGCTTAAATTAACCATGAGTGACGATAAACTGCCATGTTTAAAATGGCCCATCTCAGAGATGTGCTGTGTGCACAGACTGAGCCCAAGAACAGACTGCAGAAGTTGTGCTGGATCTCTGGGAGAGGCAATTAGTAAGGAGGGTCACTGGCCTCAAGAGTCCAAGTTTAAACTCCAGACCAGGCCCTCTTCCACCCAAGACCGCAGCCATGGAACCCCGTGTGTTTGCAGACATGAGAGTGTCCTGCTGTGTTTTACCTGCTGTGCTGCATGAGAACTCAGGTCCAGCTTGCCATGTAGCAGTCCTTCAGTGATTGGGATCTGTTTAATTTGATGGAGTTGTGGAAAACATAATGTAAAAACAGTAGAGGAAATAATCTATTAAAACTCCAATAGAGGGTTGTGGAGATGGCTCAGCAGCATGGCACTTGTTGCCAAGGAGTTTGATTCCCACACGGTGGAAGCTGAGAACTGTCTCCCACAAGTCATCCACTGACCCCCACAGGCACACACACACAGGCACCCACACATCTGTATAAATAATAGATAAATAAGAAAACAAACTTGCAAATAAATAAAGCTAATAGACTACAACCCTGTGTGATTATAAATGGTGAAATAAAAAAAGTTTGAGAATAAATCTTATGTACATAGCTAATGTATCTATGTATTTATTTGAAGATGAGGACTTGTGCCCATAGCCCAGTCTGCATAGAACTGGCACACCTTCTGCGTCAGCCTCCTGGTGTTGGTATTATAGATGTATGCCATTATACTTAGTTAAAACATTAAGAAAAAATGTGTTATTTTTTTATTGTGTGTATTTGTGAGTGCATGTATGGCTGCTGGTGCCCAAGGAGGTCAGAGGCTTTTGTTCCCTTAGAGCTAGAATTAGAGGCAGTTGTGAATCACTGAACATTGGTGTTGGGAACTACACATGGGTCCTCTGCAAGAACAGTACATGCTCTTAACCACTGAGCCATCTCTCCAGCCCAAACACACATGCACACATGCATGCCACACCTTTAAAAATGTATATTTATACAAATAGTGAAATAGCAAGAACAGAAGAGTTTGACTTTACTTCTAAACCCACAAAATGACTGTTTTATGAAGAAGTTGGTTCATTTGTTCTCGTTCTTCCCAGTCTGTTTTCCCTGCAGGCTTCCAGCGTCTCTACAGTTTCTCTGTACCTTTTCTGAGATGTGGATAATTAGCTCAGAACAACCATGATAACTAAGCCTCCTGGGAAACGCACCCTCCAGAGGCAGAGCCAAGCAGGGTGCATCTCTGGTTTCATAAGATGTTTTAAAGATTAGGTGGTATGGACCAGCTGCTTGATGATTGATTTTGAGTGGATCTTGTCAGATCTGTAATTTCCAGTCACTGGGCGGGGCTGTTTCTGATCTTGTCAGTTTCTTTTGCACATTGGTGGCAGGGACAGCTGAGTGCAGGGAGTCTCTGTACTCCTGAGTGTAGGCTGCCTCAAGGACCATTCTTAGAGTAGCTACATTCCATACTCAGACTAGTGACTATGAGGTTTGGGACTGCCAGACCTGGAAGGAGGGTGGCACACACCTGCTTTCTCTGGCTGGGTGTGTGAGGCTTTGGAACCTATGGCTTAGCTTTGTCCTTTTCAGTCATGTAGCTTAGATAGCAAATGTGAAACTCTGTTTGAAAATGGTCTTTTTGAGATAGTTAGGGATCTGACTAGATGGATTTTTTTTTTTTAACTTCCCTACGTGTGTGTGTATTCATTTGTGCATAGGCCCACATGTATGTCTATGTGAGTGTAGAGGCTAGAAGACAACCCCCAGGTGCCATTCCTCAGGTACCACCTTGTCTTTTGGAGACAGAGTCTATCCTTGGCCTTGAGCTCACTGGATGTCAGCTTGGCTGGCCATTGAGCCTTAGGAATCCATCTGCCTCCCATGATGGAGTCATAATACTCACTCCAGGCTCTGTATGTGGGTGATGGGATTGAACTCAGGTCCTTATGCTTGCAAGGAAAGCACTGGGCCAGCTCCTCAGCCTCCCCCTCCCCCGCCCCCTTTGAGATAGTCTTGCTGTTCCTAGGCTGACTTTGAATTTTTTATTCTCTTGCCTGTTTCCCAAAGGCTGGGGTTACCGACACATGCTGTAGCCCTTCCTTACTGTCCTTTAGTTTGTGGCGTATCCAGGGTAGTCCTCATACTGCATTGTTTTGTTTTCTCCTTTACTCTGTTATGGTCATGTGGATCCTTCATTAGTCTTTTCAGACAGTAGCTTGTCCATTCTCAAAACCGAGGTCTTGTCTTCATTGTTGCTGAAGTGGATGAAGATTGTGTTAGGCATCTGGCCTTTGGAACATGCTTGCCTCCAAAGATGAACTTGGCTCCTTTCTGTGTTCAGTCATCTTGGTCCCCTGCTGCCATGCTCCCCTTCCCCCATCTCAGACTCTGTACAAGTGTGCCACTGCCAAGCTAATAACTCTTTAGCTTTGGATCTGTGGTTTAGATCCATTGAATTTTACATGTAGTTTCTTTGGTTTTCTTTTTCTTTTTGCTCTGGTGCTGGTCATTGAACCCAGGGGTCTTGCACACTGATAGGTAAACGCGCCACCTCTGAACTACACCCATAGCTGTTTCCTCAAAATGAAAAGTCATTATGTGCTTTTTCTTTTCTTTTGTATGCTTTCTGCCTTGTTTTGGTTTTGAAACAGGGTCTCACTCTGTACCTCTGACTGGCCTCAGACTGCTGTGTAGATCAGGCTGGGTGCAGACTCACAGAGGTGCACCTGCCTTCACCTCCCAGTGCTGGGATTAAATGCTTGGGCTACCACATCCCGGTCCTTGTATGTTGTTTTAAGTTGTCTCAAGACCATGACAGAATGGAGAGCTGTTTCAGTTGATCAGTCAGTATTCATTGCTCGCTAATGACCTGTCCCTTTTCTTCTCATTGTTCACAGGCTATTTAATATGACCTTTACATTTTCTGTAGTATGTGCTCTGTGCAGTAATTACTGTGTCTCTATTTTCAGCATGATCTTTCTTCTCAAAGGTTGCAGGGAGAGTAGCTGATGAAAGGGGTGCAGTGCTGGGCCACGAGGTGGGCTACTGCATCCGCTTTGATGACTGCACCGACCCACTGGCGACAAGAATTAAGGTGAAGTGCTTACAGTGACTTCCAGTGTGAATGAGGGAGAGGACAATGTAACATGGGGAATTAAAGCGTGTGGTGGCCAGGGCAGCAAGGTCCCTTGAACATTGGTCTTCTGTGAAGACCAGAGCAGTTTGAAAGAATCCTTGAATCTTAGCCCAGAAAAGAACACAGAAGTAAGATTTATCCCTGGTCTACAGCTGACAAGGCTGAGGTTTGGGAGGTCAGTGGCTCATCACTTATGTGTCTGCTGGTGACAGTCTCAGGATGCAGAGTGCCCTTTCTTAAGCATGGTGGCTTTTCCTACTGACTCTCATGCTGAGAAATAAAACTGTACAGACCAGGGTAAGCTGGTCTGAGCTGGCACAAACTGGTATAGTGTAGAATTCACAGTGCTTGGCTAGCTAGAACCATCTAATGTAATGAATTCTATCTCAGTGGTAAGACATAGTAGCTAATAATAAAGTAATTGTAAGTAATTCTCATAGTGGTAATTGGTGATAATCATTCCAACAAGAACTGCTCACCACTGTGCTAGAACTAATGTAGTATAGTCCAGTAGCTCTGACAAAATGAAGCTAGGTCCTGAACAACTGTTCAGATGAGTCATTTGTTAGAAAATGGATCTTGATTCTTTAGGGTTTCTATTGCTGTGAAAACACACCACAACCAGAAGCAACTAGGAGAGGAATGGGTTTATTTCAGTTTACAGCTTTAGTGCACCATCCAGGGAAATCAGGGTAAGAGCAAGGCAGGGACTGAAGCAAAGGCCGTGAGGAGTGCTGCTTACTTGCAATTGGAATTTTCTTTGGGCCACCAACCAGCTCTCAAGTAAAGACATGGAGACATATTAATTATGATTGCTTGGCTTTAGCTTAGGCTTGTCCCACTAGGTCTTATAACTTAATTTAACCTGTGCTATTCATCTACTTTTTGCCTTGGGACTTTTTACCTTTCTTTCTATATGTTCTACTTTTCTGCTTCCTCTCTTCTGTGTGTCTGGGCCCTGGTGTCTCCCTCTCTCTTTTCCTTTTTTCCCCACCCTAATTTCCTCCTCCTCTTTACTCTCGCTGCCCAGAAGTCCTACCAATACCTCATCCCTTGCTATTGATCATTTGGCTTTTTATTAGATCAGTCAGTTGCCTTAGGCAGGGAAAATAGAACAACAACACATCTTTACACACTTAAACAAATGCTGCACATCTTTGCATAGTTACACAAATATTTCACAACATTTACTCCTCCTGGCATGTCAGCCTGCTTTTTCACACACCCAGGATGATCTGTCCAGGGGTGGTAGTCCTCCCCATCGACCTTCAATCAAGAAAATGCCCATGGACTTCCCTAGTGACCAGCCTGGTGAGGGAATTTTCTCAGTGGAGGTTCCGCTTCTTACATGACTCTAGCGTGTGCCAGGCTGACATAAAACTAGCCAGCACAGACTTTGTTTTCCAAATTCTTGATTACTTTGTTGTTAGGTAAAAGGAATGTGTTTATGTTTAAATTTCAATTATGTGTAAACCAGTTAACAGTGGGTGGGTGTTGTAGTCATGTGACTGTTTTTGGGTTCATGTGAAGCTCTGTCTGCTAAGACTGTCATTGGTAGAACTTTCCACTTCTGTGTATGTGGGGTGGGATGGGGTGGGGTGGGGGTGACTGCTGGAACCAGAACCAAGCAAACTTGTTAGAAACACATCCCACTCTTAAAGTGAGATGAGACTGCAGGCTTTGATTTGGCTTGAGAGTAATGACATCCACTTGTTACTGCTCATTTCTGAAGCATTTTATTAGTGTTCACTAATCCTACTTAGTTTTCACTGTAACTAGGTAAAATCGTTATATTACTTCATTTGACAAGCGAGGAATGAGGCTCAGAGATGGTAAGAACTTGGCCTGGGTATTTACAGCAGGTAGAAGTAAAACCTGGCTTTGAACCTCAACAGGGTAGCTCCCGAGCCCATGCTCTTAACTGCGGCTGTTAGTGGAGACTGAGGTTGAGAACATGCTGAGGAGTTAGTCCAGACTCAGTGCATTCACATAGTAAATAATGGTAAGTGGGAGACTCACTGTTGATTATACAGGGATTGCTGTTGGTGCCAATTAACATTAGCAACTAGGCCAGATAACACAGAGATAGTGCTGAAAGCAAACAGTTCTATTGATGGGTGAATAAAGCTGTGAATAAAGCTCCTGGGATGTTGTTCTTACTTTGCTGCCTGGATTGTTCTTGCATGCGAACAGAGAGTATATTTGAATTTGAATCATCAGTGTAAATAAATTTCTCTATCTTTGTATTTTTACTTTTTAGTTCCTGACAGATGGAATGCTGGTCAGGGAGATGATGGTTGATCCATTGTTAACAAAATATAGGTAAAGGTGGTTTCCTGTGATAACTTCCTAACATTTCCAAAGCTCACTTGTGCACTGGAAAGCAGTGGGGTTAGCAACTGATTTGGGTCTGCTCAGCTGCCCTCAATGTCCTCTTTCCTGATGGTGGCTCTTTCTACCCTTGGTAGTTTTTCAAAATTTTGATAGTGGTGCCTCTTACAGGCAGCAACAGTGAGTACATAATGCAGACAAGCAAAAACATGAACAAGTCTGTCTGCTGGCTTGTCCCTGATTATCTTGCCTGTGACCTACTCCAGCAATTGGAGTAACTACAGAACCACAGCCCAGTAGAGAAGCGACTAGCCAGTTGCTGGGGATGGAACTTGGGACCTACACACGTTAGGCAAGTGTCCTCTTCTGCCTTCTGGACAGTGCTCTGCTGTGTGCAGTACATGAAGTCCAGCTGAGGGCCTAGCCTTTTCTTCCTCTTTGTGTATCTTTGGCCATCACTGGGAGCACTAGTATTGCTCTGTAGCTTTGGTATTTGAGAGACCATGTCCTCTTCAGTTGGGAGTTCAAAGTGGGTGGTGAAGCTGTTTGTAAATAAGATTGTTTGTAACTAAGATTGTTGAAACCATGTTTCTAGTCTAGGAATGACTTCATTGGCAAAGAATGACTTGGGTTTTCACTTGATTTGATATTATATGACTGCTAAGTACCCAGAGGTCTCTTTGGTGGCTGGGGTGGGATTTTTATGGGGTTCCAATGTTCACTGAGTCTCTCTCTAATTCTTAGTGTCATCATGCTGGATGAAGCCCACGAGAGGACCTTATATACGGATATTGCCATTGGCTTGCTGAAGAAGGTAGGACTCCACTGCCAGTATTTGCTTTCTGTGTTTTCTTTTTATATTATTGTCTGGTTAGGAAAGTAATGATAGCAATTTGTAAAATCCAACAAATACAAAGGGAAAAAATTATCCCATCATCCTATCCATTCAGAGAAAAACATGAGCCAAATGTTGTTGTGCTTTTCTTCTCTGTCTGTGTCTGCCTGCCTGTGTCTATCTTTTGACACAGTGGGATTAGATGATGTGTGCTAATTTGTATTGTGCACATTCAATATTATATGAAGATCATTTCACTGTGAAATAGTCTTTGATGACATTATTATTACTATCTTAAAGGTTTTTGTATTTATGAGGATGTGTGTGCCTATATGTATGTCTGTGTACCAATGTGTGCAGGTGCCTTGCAGTCAGAAGAGGGCATCAGATCCCCCAAAACTGGAGTAACAGGTGGTTGTGTGAGCTGCCTGATGTGAGTGCTGGGAACAGAACCTTTCCAAGAACAGCCAGTGCTCTTAACCACTGAGCCACCTCCAAGCCCCCAAAGACAGTGTTTTAATGGCTACACAATCGCTACTGGTGTATACCACATTCTTCCTGTACTGTTAGGCTTGTGTATCCTAAGTGTATGGTCTTGTGGCAGTGAGCACCCTGAAATTAAATGTGTTGGATTTCTGTTTCTTTTCTCTTTTTAACTTTCAAAATATTTCAAATACATGTTAGAGTCAAGGTATTTATATTTTTGGTTGTGAGCCTTCTCTCCAGCCCTAGAGTCGAGGTATTTATAATAACCTTTTATTCATTATCTAGTTTTAGCTGTTATGTACACTCTCTTGTTCCTATCCTTAACATTATTATTATTTATTTTATTTTTTTATTTGTTGTTTTCTCTGCACAAACCCTCAATGACAAGTCTAGAAAGCAGTAGTAAATTGGGATGACCAAGAACCCTGGCCTTGAAAACTCTGCCTGGAAAATGTACCCACCTCTAAACTAGTGTCTCTATGTCTGTGTGGTTATGAACCTTCATTGTAACTATAGCCATTATTAGCCATCTATGGATCTTTAGATTTGAATTATTGAAGGAGGAATAAAATAACAATGTAATTTCTCCATCATGCTAGTATATTTCAAAGGTTCTTTGTAGCCACTTGTGGCTAGTGGCTACTGCCTGGATGAGGGCAGACTAGGAACCGCTTCATGGGGAAGTCTGCTAGGCAGACCTGCTGGACATTGTAATTTGTCACAAGGCTTAAATTAGGCAATACAATCTTAAGCTGATAACATGTTTACATTTGTACAAATAAGAAAAGGATGCCTCTCGGTGACCGTGTCTGTCCATGGTAAGGTGAGGGGAAGGTAGGATCAGACACTTGCAACCTCCTCAACTTTGTGTCTTTGTGTAGCCTGCACACTGTATGACTCCAATGTGCCCTGAAGTGACACATGACTAGGAATATATAAATTGCTCTTGTCATTGTTATTTCATTATTGTATCTTTTGGCTGATGATCAGACTTGTGGATAGGCATGAGGAATTTTCTCACTAGTTCATCCCCACCTAGCGACAGTGTAATAGAGGGCACACGTCTATCCAGGCTTTGCCAGGGTTGAGGAGCCTCACACAGCTGCTCCTGAGTGTGGCAGATGTGCTGTGCCCGGTGACCACATTTCTTTGAATAGACATCAGTGCCCATATTACTATCTTGGTATCACCACATGTTATTTCTTGGTTTTAATGTACCTTTTCATACTTCTGACTATGAATACATACATTTACACTGCCCCCAAGTCCCACTTGTGAGGAAAAGTGTTTATTTTTAGTAATTTCAAATTCAGTCTTTAAATTTAGGGTTCAAATTAGACTGTGGGGTGGGTTAGGCTTAAAGTTTTAAATTCCCTTCATATTTTGTGTGAAAAATTTTATTGGGTCATAATTTAGAAAATTCTGTACATTTTCTAAGTCAGAAAGAACGATGTACCTCACAGTAATTTGTGACACCAGCAGCTGGTTGTTTGTGGCATTCTTGTCTCATTGGTAGGCCTCCTCTTTGTTTTGAGACAGGATCTTGCTGTCTAGCCCAGGCTGGTCTTAAACTTGTGATCTTCCTGTCTTAGTCTCCTGCTTGCTGGACTTTACAGGCCTGAGTCACCATGTCTGGCTAGGAATTGTGCATTGCCCCATTGTTACCATTATTACCTGGTGCCTTCTTTTTCAGATCCAGAAAAAGCGTGGGGATCTTCGCTTGATTGTTGCCTCAGCCACTCTGGATGCAGAGGTAAGGGCATCTTCCTCTTCCCCCTCGTGTGTAAACATTGGAATTGTCACATGTCCTTGGGAACAAGCCTCCAGCCAAAGCATGTCTTTGGAAGAGTGACCTGCCTTTTTGGGGGGCTATCTGGTGCCCTGGATGTCACACGATGCTCTTTCTCAACTGTGACTAGAAATCAGCCTGTAATTAACCAAGGGAGTTGTTGATCACCCACTTGCCTTGCTCCTGTCTCTGCCATCCTTCTCCTGTGTCAGGCAGCTTTTTTTTTTGTTTTGTTTTATTTAGGTTTTTTGAGATAGGGTTTCTCTGTGGCTTTGGAGGCTGTCCTGGAACTAGCTCTTGTAGACCAGACTCACAGAGATCCATCTGCCTCTGCCTCTGCCTCTGCCTCCTGAGTGCTGGGGTTAAAGGTGTCTGCCACCACCGTCCAGCCAAGCAGTTTTTTTAAAAGTTACTTTTCAATGTGAGGCTATATGTCTTGAATGTATTTATGAAAATTATATGCTTATTTTAATGTTTTTGGTACAAATTGAAGTTTTCCTGTAATGTAGTAGTTTTCATGTTAAGTAGTTTTTTTTTTTTAATTAAAAAAAATTCTTTTTTGTATGTGTGGTGGGGGCACACATGCCCTGGTAGAGGTTGGAACAGCTTAGAGGAATCAGTTCTGCCCTTCTACCATGTTGGTTCCCGGGATCAAGGTTATCAGGCTTGTCAGTAGGCATCTTTACCAATCGAGCCATCTCTTTGGTCCTGTTTTTTTTTTTTTTTAATATGGCTGATTTACTCTTTTGATGACTAATATATTTTTTTTTTTTTTAAAAAAAAAAAGAAGCCACAGTTCAACTCACCTCGTTCTTTTGGCCATTTGATGTTTATATATAGTCGATATGCTAAGGTTCCTGCTAACGACAGGTGATCCATACATCCCATGAGTCCAGGGAAGGAGGCACATAAGTAGGTGTTAGTGGGTTAAGGTAACCTAGAAGGCTGCTCTTTAGTCCAGCCAGCTGGCAGTGTCAAGAATTTGTCACCAAGAAGGCAGCATTTTAGCAGTGTTTGAGATAGCATGACTCTTTCTTCATGGGCATATGGGAGCCACAAGGAACTGTGAGTTCTGGGAGCTGCCAGAACTCTGCCTGTCAGGCCCCACAGAGGTGCTCCTTTTCCAGCATTGCCCCATTTTCAGGGGTGCTCCATCCTCAGGATTGCTCCATCCTCAGGGGTGTTCCATCCTCAGGGGTGCTCCATCCTCAGGAGTGCTCCATCCTCAGGGGTGTTCCATCCTCAGGAGTGCTCCATCCTCAGGAGTGCTCCATCCTCAGGAGTGCTCGTTTGTAGCCGTTCCATTAGGTGATCAGTTACACACACAGCAGGTGTGATTGCAAAGTCCTTTTCCTTTGTATTACATTCTTCTACTTGGGCCTGTCCGCATGACACAAACTAGGCTTGCAGACTGTTTTGTCAGAGGCCTGATTACTTTAGAGAGATTAATTTCTCTTTTCCATTAGTCCTGGTGAAGGATCATGAGTCCTCTGAGGCCAGATTCCCACATTGGACCAGTTTGCTTGGACCAGTTTTGTTGGCTTGGGTGGGGCTTAGGGAGGGCATGGACGTGGATGCTGGGAGCTCTTTCCCAGGATAGGAAGCTGGAGTGAGCTGGCAGATGGCCTAGCAGAGGCCCACATCATTTCCACTTTGTCTCATAGACATTTCTTACTCTGTCTTTCTATCATTGTGACCCCAACTCTTGAACCCTACTCAGAATTTTCCAGGTGAGGGGCTTGCTTCCTGTTCTCTTGATTCTGCCTCAGGAACCATGTACTCTTGAGAAATAGGTTATTGGTCTTTTAAGAAAAAAATTATTATTACTGTATATGCATGTTTTGTCTGTATATGTGTACCATTTGCATGCTTAGTGCCATGGTGGCCAGGAAAGGGCATCAAACCCACTCCACTATAACTGGAGTTATAGACAGTTGTGGATCACCATGTAGGTACAGGGAATGGACCCTGGGTCCTCTGGAAGAGCAACCAGTCTTTTTACTCACTGAGCCATCTCTCTAGCCAAGTGTTTGGTTGAAGACACTGGATAAAAATCTTAAGGACCCAGACCCGTGTCTCTCAGAGCATGGGAAGAGTTCTTTAAAGAGTAGCTCTTGGTCTTTTCTAGCTGCTGGGAACCAGCCATCCATGCCATCCAGGAAGCTTGCCACGCATGCCTTTCCTCTCTCACTGTTCTGTGCGTCCTGGTGTATCTTTGTCCAGCAAGCCCTTCTTAGAGTCCTCCTCCTGCAGCTCCGGACCCTGCTGTCCCCACTCTTCCTGACTCCTCACTCACTTCCTCCTGGGGATCTTGAATCTCTACTCTTTTTCCTCAAGGCAATCCATTCCTTCCATGGCCCCTGGCTCAGCTGACATTGGGTGTTGGTGACAGTCTTGACTGTGTTGCTTGTGTCCACCTTTGTTGTCTCTGAGCTATCTGGAATGTTTAAACCTGGCCTGGCTGGTTCTGTCCAGTTCTGTCCTGCCTCTTTCTCATAGTCATAGTAATTCAAGCCCAAGATCTCCCTCCATTGCTGAGGAAGTTTCATCATTGATTAAGAAGTTTTTCTGTCCTGTCCTGTGTCTGCATGCATGTGCACACAATTGGAGAAGGCACTGTTCATGTTATCAGATGGCCTGAAATCTATTGGGAAGTTACAGTAAAGATGTATCAGAGACACACCTGCTGTGCAAGAGGGAACTCTTTATGAATTGACAAACTTTTGTGCCATCAGATGTGTGCTCTCCAGAATAGAGGTGTCCACCAGCCTGGTTTAACCTGTACCAAATTGAGTCACACCTCATTTTCAGCTAAATAGAACACAGAGGGTGGGAATAAAGTAATAATATAGCTACATGGCAGCTTTAGAATCTGTCACTGAAATTTCCCCTGCAGTTTCAGTAAGAGAACTGTAAATTAGCTGGATATGGTAAAACATGATCCTAGCATTCAGGAGGAAGGGGCAGGAGGAGGATCCTGAGTTTGAGTCCAGCCTGGGCTACATACAGTTTCAGGTTTGTCTGACCTAAGTATCAAGACCCTGTCTCAATAAACTAAAGCTAGTCCTCTGGGAGATGGCCTGGTGGAGCTGTAAGAAAAGAAAGACAATTATCAATTCAGAAAATGCTTTGTGTGATGTGATATAATCATAATCAAGAAGTGGAGGCAGGAGGATCAGGAGTTCAAGGCCAGCCTCAGCTATGGAGTAGGTTTAAGACTAGCCGAACTATATGGGATCCTGTCTCTAAAATAAAATAAACTATTCTGCCACATGTAATCTTCATTGTATGTATCTAATTCCTACTATCCCACATACCTCTGCCAATATTATGTTTTATTTCTATGAATTACTGTAAACCATCCTCTTTTTTGAGATAAATATGGACAATATTTATATATTTATTTATTTTTAGAAATTTCGGGATTTCTTTAACCAGAATGAAACCAATGACCCAGCCAGGGACACCTGTGTGACCCTTACCGTGGAAGGGCGGACATTTCCAGTGGATATCTTTTACCTACAAAGGTTTGGTAATGCTTGATTTCTGGTGATATGGGACCTCGCCTGTCATGCAGAATAATAGGCAGTGCCATCAGCCTGCAGTGTGGAGGGTGTATGGTGCTGTGCCTGTTGGCTGTAGAATGCTCTGGAAGCTGGACTAGCATCACTGATATTTGAGAGTTTCACTCTTGTTTGCAAACTTGCATGCATCTGCTGGAGAGAGTAAACTAGTAGCAGGCTGGTGGGAGTTAGGCAGTTTTCTGAACTGGGGTTTCCAGGGTTCCATCAGTAAGGGAAGCATTGCTGAGTCCTGTGTTTTGTTGTCTACATCCTTAGCAAGAAGGCCTACACTTTTGGGAGAAGTCCCTAGTAAGAAAGGGGCCATCCTAATTGCTGTGCCAGTGTCCCAGTGCCTGATAAATCCAGAGAGTTGTAAACTTCATTTTTGAGTCCTTCCAGCTGGAGGGAATGTCTGCCATTTCCATTCACTCAGCCCATAAGTTCCAGCCAGGAGAAGATGGGCCCAGGCCCACTGCGGGTCTTGGGTTCTGTAAAAAAGCAGTCTGAGCAAGCCTTGAGGTAAATAAGCAGCACCCCTCATGGACTCTGCATAGGCTCCTGCCTCCAGGTTCCTGTCCTGTTTGAGTTTCTGTCCTGACTTCCTTCTTGATGAACAGTTGTAAGGGAAAAGGGTCAACTAAAGAAACATTCTCTGAGTCGAGCCAAAGAAACACACTTTGGCCCTGAAACCAGAGCCAAACTGACCCTAAACCTGTGCAGAAAACCAACTAATCCCGGAAAATGAGATCTAGCCATTCTGAGCTCAGGGATTGAAATCTAACCAATCCCCACCTTGGAAATCTCCTTGGAAAAACTCCACCCTCTAAGAAACCCTGTGTTCAGCTTGTGACTGTTTGGGCTGACCTGCTGTCCTCTGCCACTCTGGCAGAGCACAACCATTGTCCTGGACTCTTCCCTCCCAATAAATTTCTTGAGTGAGGTTTGGGTGAGACCTTCTTTTGCCAGAGCAGAGATGCAGGGGAAACCCTCCCTTGGCGTAGCGAAGTTGTTACACTCTGCTCTCTGGGGAACTGGGGAACCTTCTCCTCCTGAAGCAGAGCTGATACACTGGGGAAGCCTTTCCCTGAAACAGGGCTGTAAGATGCTATGCTTACTGTGACCTGTGGTATTCCTTGGCTCCTGAGTGCCAGAAGATCTTTCTATCTGAGCTGTAACACTCAGTATTCTTTAGCTCTCGAGTGCTAGAATCCCTGTTCATCCCATCCGAGCTGTCAAAGTGCTTACAACAGTGATAGGGAAGTATAAGCCAAATAAACCTTTTCCTCCCCAACTTGATTTTTGTCAATGTGTTTCATCACAGCTATAGAAACCCTAACTTGACATTTGGGCTTCTGCATGGAGGCAGAAGCCCTTGGTTTTCTGTGACTTGGCATCTTTGCAAGTTGAAGATAAATAATTTACACGCACCTTCCCGCCAGCCTCTTACTGCATTAATCTCCAGCTGAGCTAGTGGCCACAGGTGCATATAAATTTGCACAGGAGAGTCAAGACTAAATTTAGCAATGATGCTGGTCCAGCTTCCAGAACATTTTATCTTCCAGAATATTTTTTGTTTTTTAGCCAATAAAGCTGAAAACCATTGTTTACATGTAATTATGTATAGAAGTGCTGCATTTAATGTCTTTTTTCTTGTGCTGGGGACAGATGTTAGGCAAGTACTGTACCATTGAGATACACCCTCAGTTCTTGATTGCTGTACTTGAAAAACAAGGAGCTCACATTCATTTTACTTGTCCATATGCTAATTACCTGCTGGGCTGGCCCAAACTGACCCTGATGTGGTTTGGCTGCCAGGTTATTAGTGTAATTGGATCTGTGATTAATGAGCTCATTCCAGTGATGATCTTTTTTCCTTGTGTTTTTTTTCCAGTCCTGTTCCAGATTATATCAAAGCAACTGTGGACACTGTGGTAAAAATTCATCAGACAGAGGGAGATGGAGATATACTAGCTTTCCTTACTGGCCAGGTAACTCCAACCAGTTTCTCTGCATGGGCACGTTAAGGCAATACCAAAATTAACACAGAGCTCTGTTCTTAGCCATTTGTTTCCTTTCTTTTTCTTTTTCCTTTTTAAATGTGTATGGGTACTTTGACTGCATGCTTGGTGCCTGAGGAGGTCAGAAAATGGTGTCAGGTACCCCAGAATTGGAGTTACAGATGGTTGTGAGCTGCCATGTGGGTGCTGGAAATTAAGCCTGGGTCCTCTGGGAGAGCAGCCAGTGCTTTTAGTTACTGAGTCATCTCTCCAGCATCTTCCTGCCATGTTTAGTTACATTTTATAGTTGCTAAATTTCATTAACAAAATGTTGGTTTAATGTCATTGTCTACCTTTAGATTGTCAGGGTGCATATAGCTCCTCCCTATTCTGTCCATAGAATGTTAATTGAATTTTTTAAATTTTAATTCAATTTTATTTTATGTGTATGTGTGTGAGGCTTTGTGTATGTATATGCACCATGTAAGGACATAAGAGGGTGTCAAATCTGTTGGAATAGAAATTGCAGGTGATTGTGATCTGCCTGAGGTGGGAACTGAACCCAAGTCCTCTAAAAGAGCAGTGAGTACTCTTAACCTCTGAACCATCTCTCCACTGTGACATTTTAAATGTATTAGCTGATTTCAGAATACATTGGGATTTTTATCAAATGGGCTGTTTTGTTTGTCAGTATGGATGTTGCACTAGGTACATTTTGCTTTGTGTATGTCATAATCCAAATTTATGGCCAAAAAGTTGGGGCACCATTTCACAAATGGCCCGACTTTAGGAGTGGCTCCTTTAATTTGGACAACTTTCCAACTCATTCAGCAGGTAGCCAGTGGCCACATAGTGGAAAACAGCTGGATAAGCCGGAACATTCTACCGGCTGTAGCTGTACTCAGAACTACTTCCAACTGCAGCCTTCCTTTTCTACTACCAAGCATTTCCCATTATTAGCAATCCTATCTCAGGAATTCTTACCATGACTTCATAGGCCACAGCTTGTCCATATGCACAGAATGCTCAGCATATCCATATACATGGGATGCTCTGTTTGCTTCTGCCCATAAAAGTTGTGTAAAAATTGTCATTTAAAAATTATGTGTATGTGTGTATTTGTGAGCAATGAGTACAGATGCCTGTATGGAGGTCTGAAGAGGGCATTGGATACCCTGGAGCTGGAGTCACAGCAGAGTAAGCTGCCTGACTTGGGTGATGGGAACTGAACTCTGGTCTTCTGCTGGACTAGTAAGGGCTTTACCATTGAGTCGTCTCTCTAGTTCCTCGTTGTTTTTACTTATGGGAGCTTGTCTATTAACTACAAAAGGTTTAGCTTGACTAATTAATTGTACAGTTACAGAATTTCACTCCTTTAATACTGTTATTTGGTACATTTGACTTAATGTCATCCTTAGTGGGACATGGAAGCACAGCAGTTGCTGAGAGGGACCAGAATTAAGACCCATGTGCCACCATTTGTTCTTTTAGTATGGTAGCATAACCAGCTTCTTTGGTTTCTGGTTCCACATTTAGGAAGAAGTAGAAACTGTTGTGTCTATGCTGATCGAGCAGGCGCGGGCGCTGGCTCGAACTGGGATGAAGAAACACCTCCGGGTGCTCCCCATGTATGCAGGACTGCCTTCCTTTGAGCAGATGAAGGTGTTTGAAAGGGTGTCACACAGCGTCAGAAAGGTGAAACTTCTACTGACTGGTGGTGCTTGCAGCCATTTGTAATATGTTGTATACTGCTAATATGTAATATGTTGTATACTGCTAAGTTGTTTTTGGTATATGTATGTATTAATGTGTGTGTATATGTGAGAAAGAGAGAGAGAGGGGGAGTGAGAAGGAGGGAGAGGGAGGGAGAGGGAGGGAGGGAGGGAGAGAGAGAGAGAGAGAGAGAGAGAGAGAGAGCATTCATATGTGGACATATACCACAGTGCATATGTTGAGATCAGAGGAAAACCTTGATTGAGACAGAATCTCTGTTGCTTGCTGCTGTGTCTGCCAGGCGAGGTGACCCATAGATGCTGGGGTTCTTCTCTCTCTGCTGCCTCTCACTGTATGATTTCTGGGATTATAGACACATGCTACTCTACCAGGCTTTGTGTGGGTTCTGGAGACTAAGGCCTCACACAGCCAGTACTTTACCATGTGAGCCATTTCCCCAGACCCTGTTTTAGTTTTATAATTTATCTTTATTTTATGTGCATTGGTGTTTTGCCTGCATGTATGGCTTTGTGAGGGTATGAGATCGTGGACTTACAGATAGTTGTGAGCTGCCTGGTAGGTGCTGGGAATTGAACCTGGTTCCTTTGGAAGAGCAGTTAGTGCTCTTAACCCCTAAGCCACCTCTCCAGCTCCCACATATTTTTTAATTTTGTGAACTTTGCCAAGTAGGACTTTTCTTTCAAATCTGAGTCCATGTTTCTATATAGTAGGTCTAAAATTCTATAGTAGATAGTGTGTTGTGAGGGTTTCTAACTCTGCCCAGAGAAGAGCAGTTCACGTCTTGGAGCTTTTCTTGATCTGCCTAATATTTTTCTCAACACGTTATTACTTTAGCCTCAGAGATTGTCATGGTGGATTGTGGTCAGTTAGAACTAGATAAAGTTACTAGCCGTGGTTCCTAATCCAGTTTGCCTTCAGAGCCAAGTTTAAATTAGTCAAACATTCAGTCTTGAAATTAAGTTGAGGATGGGTGTGGTGGGAAGAAGCATTGGATGGGAGGAACCAGGAGCTTGCTTTCTGCCTCTCCTTTTCCGTTCTCGTTTCCTAGATGTGGAGTACAGGGCCGGTGGCTCAGAGTCACGCAGGTGAGGGATGGTCTGGGTCTCTGGACCCACTCCCAGCTTCAGACCATTTGGCATGGAACGGTCTGAACTTGCCCAGTCACACATGAACTGCGGTCGGACAATCCACAGGCTATGTTTTACCCTTAACTTGCTATATGCCTTGCCCTAAGTTACTTAGCTTTAGGTCTCAAATTTTCTAGCTGTAAACTGTGTGTAATTAAACATTTTTTATTACATTTTTTTTATGTGGGGTGGGGACAGGGCACATACGTGCCATTCGTGCATGTGGAGGTCAGTGTACTTGCGGGGGTCAGGTCTTTTCTTCCACCTTATGGGCCTCAGGGATTGAACTCAGATCCTCGAGGTTGACAGCAGGTACCCTTACCCACTGCACCATTTCACCTGCCTCAGCAGTAACTTAGATAGAAGGCCTTATAGTATAAAATTGTAACCTTCTACTATATAAAAATAGGACTATTTTCATGCAATGATTTTATAAAATGTGAAGTGCTTGAGAAAAGTTATGTGTGTTTTATATACCTGGCCCCAGCTTCGTCAAACCTGGCAGGGACAGCTGGCAGGTATGCATAGTGGCTAGAGAGTGCTGCACACTAGCTGGGCCCCACACTGTCCCTGAGCTCCTTGCACAGTGGCTGTGTTGGCAGTACCTCCTTCCTGTGACACTTCTCTCTGGTCTCTGTAGGGCTGGCCAGTTCCTGTTAGTTGGTCTCAGCTCACATTCATCTTTCTGGGGTGTTTTCTCTGGATAGCAATTCGAAGGGGAGACTTTGTTATACAATGTGTAATCCGTACTATGTAGCATATAATAGCACAGTGTTATTTCTCCCTGGTACCCGCTATTCTCTGAAGTTATCTGCCTGTTGGAGGTGGTTCCAGTGTACTAGAGCTTGTACTCTGGAGAGCAGGGCTTTTTCTCCTCCAGTGTACATTCCTAGCACCTTAAACAGCACTTGGTCAAATGTGGACGGAGCCTAGAAATAGTTACGTGAATAAGTAGATGCTATTTCTATACAGTAGGTCTAAACTCCATAGTAGGTAGTGTGCTGTGAGGGTTTGTACAAGATGGCTGTTTGGTTGTGCAAGAGAGAAAACAGGCCTTAAGAACTTACCGTGTGCTCAGTGTTAGGTTCTAATCTCTTTTTGTTTGGATCTTCTTCCCTCGACGACCCTAGGAAGGCGGTGGCCCCACTATGTAGGTGAGGAAGGAAGGCTCAGGATCTTGAGGGAGCTGTGTATGGTTGTAGAACTGGGACATTTCTACCTGGTGTCGTGACTCTTTAACTCCTCCCTGGCAGCATAATGTTTGAAATGTCAAAATATCTTAGGACTTTTAAGCTTAAAAATCTTTAAAGAACCGACTAGCTTTCTTTCTCTTTTTGGTAGGTGATTGTGGCCACCAATGTGGCAGAAACTTCCATCACAATCAGTGGCATTGTGTATGTGATTGACTGTGGCTTTATGAAGCTTCGAGCCTACAACCCCAAGACAGCTATTGAATGCTTGGTGGTGGTACCAGTGTCTCAGGCATCTGCCAACCAGAGGGCAGGACGTGGCGGACGCAACCGCTCGGGAAAGTGTTATCGCCTTTATACAGGTATGTGTGGTGTTTCACAGCAACTTTGGATTTCCTTACAGCAGCCTGGGCTTTGGATCCAGCCCTCCTTCCCAGGGTCCCCGCCGCTTCTTGCCTTCTTTGCCAGGACTCCCCACTGGCCGAGGCTGGCTCTGAGACTCACCACAGACGGACAAGAGATCATTGGCTCACTCTGTGTATCACGAGCCATACTAGGTTCTGAGGGCACAGAGTGAGATTCTGGTAGACAGTCCAGGCCTTTAATGAGCTTGCTTCTCAGCCTGCTGACACTGGGAAGCACAGGTACCTCGATGTTCCAGAGCTGTGGTTTCTCTGTGTGTCTCTTTCTTTGGGAGTGGTGCTGAGGCCCCACCCCCATGCCTTGCCTCCGTACATACCTTCCTAGTGTGCAGATGGAATTTCCAAGCCATTAACTCCCTCCTCTATCTATCGGGTATCTACCTGCAGTTGCTTAAGAATCTGAGGGCTCAGCCCTGCCATGTATTTTTCTTTCTTTTCCTGTTACCATCATCCTTATACAGTCCTTGATGTGCATCTGCCTCGCTTTCTCTCTTTTCCTCTGTGGGCTATGGAACTCAGGGCCTCACTAGCCTTGAGCGTCCCACCTAGCCCTCCTCTTTTTCAGCACGGGTGTCATCAGGGCCTGGGGACCTAGGGCTCAGTAAGACTGTGGCTACAGTGTGGGTGGTATGGTGGTAGAGGCAGACCCAGGAGAGGATCACCATGCCCTGTGTGATGAGTGGCTTTAGAGGAAAGGGGACCTTTGAAGCAGAGAGGGTGCATTCTCCCCTGCTGGGAGCTGAGGACAGGGAGTACTTGAAGCCCAGGCAGTGTTTGAGCCTGGTCTCCACGGCAGCCCATTCTGTCCAAGTGGAGCGGGTGGGGCGCTGGAGATGGGTTTCGGAACACTAGGGAGAGGGAATAGGATTATTGAGGAAGAGTCCTTTATGTACATACACACAGGCTGTTTATCATCTACACTGTTTTTCTGAGGCTGCAGGGGTGGTGCTGGGTTTAAGTGTGTGTGCGGACTTGCCATCTGCAGAGAAACCTTTAATTCCTTGAGGAATTGCAGTTATAAGTATTAGTAATTGTGTGTTTAACTTTTAAAAGTTAACTCAAGTTTTATTTGTTTATTTTTGAGGCAGGGTCTCTGCAGCCCCGGCTGGCCTCAGACTCAGAGATCTCCTACCTTTGCCTCCAAGTACTGGAATTTAAAGGTGTGCACCACCATTCCCAACAACTCAAGTTATTACTTTTAGTTTTATGTAATTTTACTTTGGGTCTTTTGCCTGCATCTCTCTCTCTCTCTCTCTTTCTCTCTCTCTTTCTGTGTGTGTGTGTGTGTGTGTGTGTGTGTGTGTGTGTGTGTGTATCTGTGTGTGTCTGTGTGCATGTGCGTGTGTGCACATGCACATGCGCCTGTGCCTGGTACCTGAGGGGGTAGGAAGAGGGTGTTGCATGTCTCTACAATGGGAATTGCAGATGATTCTGACCTGCCATTTAGGTTCTGGGGAACTGAACCTGGGTTCTCTGCAAATACAGCCAGTGCTCTTAACCACTAAGCCATCACTCTAGCTCCAATTCAAATTAATTAAAGTGGAAGTGGGTACCTGCATCTGATGTGTCAGAGAAATCATGTGATAGGACTTGAATTAAAGCACAGCAGGTGGATTTGGGTGAAAGGTCACTGAGTTTTTAGTCCTAGCCGCTTTAGCATGTGTGTGGTTGGGAAGGGCCAGGAGCAGTGCCCAGTGTGTTAGTGCCCAGCCTTCAGAGTCTGAGCTGACTTTTCAGAGTGTACAGCTGTTCCTTACTCAGATCATTTAGTTTTCCAGACTTTTCCTCAGCTCAGTTCTTAGACACACCCTCTGCTTCCCATTTCCGGCACTCATACCTTAGATGCCTTGGGCTTGTCTGTCTTTGTCCAGCAGGTCCTCCTGATACTCATGGCAGCCTCTGTAGAGGCTTTCCCCAGCCTCTGTTCTCCTCTTTCCTGAGCCTCCAGTGGTCCATGGAAGGAGCATCTGCTCCTTGTGGGGTCTGTTTTCTGCTCTTCACCCCTGGGGGCGTTGCCTGTGGCTGGGGCCTCTGTAGCTTCTGAGTGCCATCACATCTTCATCCCTGAGCATCAACACCTTCTTTCCTCAGCATCTTCTCAGTAAGACCAGCCTGTCTTTTATGAATTGTTTCTGCCTTGGCCAGTGGTGCTCTTGGGGAATGTGGTTATCCTGGTAACAGTACTATATAGTGTTCTTAAAACTAAAGAACTTTCTTTCCTGCTGTTCTCTGCCATCTAGAACCTTCTGGCTAGACCCATGCATTTGCCAATTTATGTCACACAGTCTAGAATATTGGTTGTCTGTTTTCTTAGATAGTGTTTCTCCAGTAGACTTTGCTGTAATTTATTTTCCTCTTGAGTTAACTAAGCTTTCTGGTCTAAATGGAGACTTGATGATGCTAGTGTTTAAGAAGGGTGTGCACAGTGTTGACTTATGTGGGAGGATTTGGTGTATAATCCACAGGCTTTCTAAGTATACACAAAAAAAACAAAAACAAACAAACAAAAAAAATTTCATGCCTTCCTGTCCTTTCTCCCACCCTTTGGTCTAGTCCTCCCCTGACTCTGTCCTCCCCCCTCCCCCCGTCTCTCTGCCTTGGGGTGCTTTCTCCTGTTTGAGTTCTCCTTTTGTTCCCGTGGGACATGCAAGTACAGGATCCTGGGTGTGACACTGCATTCAGCTCCTTGATTTAAAAGCTAGGTTTGTACAATTTCTGCTCTTTGTAATTAGCGCGTTTGTCAGGTTCTGGTGGAAGTTCTGGTGATTTATTTTACATTGTTCTTTGCTTATTTTGCGCTCTTATTGCTTCCTTGACACACTCTACCCTAAGCAGAGTTAACAGTAACTGGACCTGGATGCTTGCTGCTCTGGTTGATTATGTCACTGACAAAAAAGATAATTGAAAAGTATCACCACTCTGAAGTAAAGTAACATGCTTTTTAAAGGGGTAGTTTTCATCTATAAATGTATAAATATAAATAGAAGTATAGTATAAATATGTAAAAGGGTTTATATTCAAATATGTTTTTCAATATACTTTTGATTATAATGGTAAAACAACTTTGTATCGTGGTGTTGTTGCATCTGGTCCCAGAATCACAAAACTCTTGCTCAAGGCAGAGAAGGAAGACATATGCTGGCATGTGGGTGCATATGACTGTCACATTTGATCCATTTCTGATTTCCTGTTCTTAGAGGATGCCTTTGACCAGTTACCGCAGTCCACTGTCCCTGAGATGCAGCGCAGCAATTTGGCCCCTGTGATCCTGCAGCTAAAAGCCCTAGGGATTGACAATGTCCTCAGGTTCCACTTCATGTCTGTAAGTCTTGCCTCTTGCTGAGGAGCTCATGGGGGTGTGTGTGCAGACACTGGTTGGGCATGCCATCTTCTTTCTTCCCCTCTCAGCTAAAATACCATATACCACTTGGTCCTGTGCAGGGTGTGGGCCAAACTGGCAGCCAGAGGACCAGAGTTCCTCTACCTCTGTATTCCCTGTCCTTTCTTCTGGGGCAGAGAAAAGTAAATGAGTGAGTAATCACAAGGCAGCTTGACCAGTGCTCAGAGAGACAAAGGAAGGGCCATTCCTCCTATGTGAGCTATCACCAGACCCAGAAGGTATGAGTGGGCCTGGCTGTAGAGTGTCAATGCTGAGGGTACTCAAGGCTTTGGGAAGATCCTGTGGCTCATGGTATCTCTGATGATTTCCTGAGGCAAGTTATGGGAGTGGAAATGACCTTCTGTAAGCTTCTGATGCATGGCTGACTGGCTCATGGGTATTTGTCATCTGCCCACTTATAGAAGAATTGACTTCTTTGTAGAGTGTGACAGTAGTGAGGTATTGAGTAGTGATCCCAAGTAATCCCTGGAGCAAGAGACAGAGTGAGTGCAAGAGACAGAGCAGGAGAAGACAGGACAAGACTGTGCCCACCCACAGGAACCCGGACGCACTAACATGGTGTTTTACTTTCTCACAGTAGCTCTCCACATGCATAAGCTCCGCTGAGCCAGTGCGCACATTGCCTCTAAAGAATGCAGTGGTACTTGAGGGCTTGGTTCACCAGCTGTGTGACTTGCATGCAGTGATTTTGGCTCCCCTCTGTGTAGCCAATGAGATGTAGGTTCCACACCGTAAAGACAATATAGTCCATCACTAGATCTTTTAGAGGCTTGATTTTGTTCTTTGGCAGACAATGGCTAAAAGACCACAGTTTAGCTTCTGACCTGCCATCAAGTGCTGCGAAGCCTTGCCCAAATGTCCTTTTCTTATCATTACTTTCCTCATCTGTGAAATTGAGTTAAATCACTTGGCTGTTTGGAGTGCAGTTGTTGCTCTGCAGATTCAGAGGAGAGGCAGTGCAGTCTGGAAAGGTACTGATCTTGTTGTCTGGCTTACTAGGAACTGAGTCCCTGGAAGGGACCACTGAAGCCTGGCACCCAGAGGTGCTCAGTGAGGATTTTAGAGGTCAGGAAAGAGGTGTCAGCACCCACTGAAGGGCACAGTGTGAGCCTTGTTGCGCTCTGCAGTGTCAGTGTCCTCTGCATTTTCAGCAGTTTGGACGTGTTACTAGCTCGCCATTAGCAAGGCCTGGGCAGTAGAAGTTAGTTCTCTTCTACCTGTGCTGTAGGATTTGTAGCTCCCAGTACAGGAGAAGGCTGAGGGAAGCTGAGGGTAGTGAAGGGGTGGTTTAAAGTAGGGGGCTGCCTTGCTGATGGAGGGGGCATGAGGGAGAGCAGCTTGAAAAGCAGTTAAGTCATGAAGAAAGCATTGCCCAGGATGCTACAAAGGTGGCAGGCACATTTTAAGGTACCAGCAGCACGGAGACTGGGAGGATGGGATGTGATAGAGGGAGAGTGAGGCACAGTGATTACAGTTTTCGGATCTTTGGCAAAGAAACTAATTTAGGAGGACTTTCTTGTGTTTTACAGCCCCCGCCAGCACAGTCGATGGTTCAAGCCTTGGAGTTACTCTACGCTCTTGGCGGTATGCCCATTTCTCATGTGTTCTCTTATATGGTAATAGGTAGCCGGATTCACATAGACTTCTTAGAGTCTTTAGGAATGGGATTGTTCCTCCCAATGTGTATAAATTCTTTAGTGACAGTTACTCTTTTGAAATAGAAATTAGACAAAAGTAACTCAGGGATAATATGATGATTTATAAAGTGCGGCAGAAATTGTGGATGGCTCAGGACCCCCAAGACCAAGTTCTCAACACAAAGGAGATTTATTTACCCCAGAGGTGGGGATTAAGAGACAAAGACAGGAGATAGAGGGCAAGGGAGACAGGGAAAGGAACAAGAGAGAGGGTCAAGGCGTATTTGGCTTAGAGGGGATACATATGTGGCCCTTAGGCGAGTAGCAGCTATAAAAGTAAAAGGAATATTAGGAAACCAATTAAAATGTGTTTCGTTTTAATTGGGCAAGTTAATAAGGTGAGCCAAAGGGGGCTTCTGATTGCTGGACTTTAATACCTTGATAGCTGGACTTTGGTAGTCAGCCTCAGGAGGAGGAAGTGGCCAAATAAGAGACAGACCTTGTGGGTTAGCTTCAGGGATGTGATCTAATGGTTTTTAGCAAGGCAGAGGGAGTGGGGGAGAAGGGCAAGGCCTGCCAGAGCCATGTTTGCTGTGCTTGGACTGGCTAGAGTCCCTTCAGCCATCACCTGGGCCACTCTTGAAGAGTCACCAGAGACTGGCAGATCTCCATAGACACCGGTTCTTGTTCGTAGACCCCTTTTTCTTTCCTAGCCCCATTCCAAAATCCCCTTCATTTCATCCCTGAGTTCCCCATGGGAATTGGGCAGGTAGCAGCCTGGGGTACTATTTGGGCAAGAGTGCTCTGTTCTTTGGAGGAAGCCCTGTTGGTTTGTTTGAAAACACAGTGTGTGTCTCAGGGAAAATGGTGGCAGCTTGGGAGGTACTGTCTCTTCTATGTACCGTGCCTGTAAGTGGTGTCCTCTGGGGAGCTTTTGTGAGTGGGGGATTGAGTTTGTTAGGAAGTTTTAGTGGAGCCTTTGCCCTGAATTTTGTCTTGAGTCTTTTAAAAATAGTTTTATTAAAGTTCACATCATAGTGTTCAAGAGCTTTTGGTGTCAAAGTGTTGTGTTGTCTTCAGTACAATCCAATTTTAGAACATTTTCATCGTTCCATAAGAAAATGTGTGTCTTTTAGAGTACACTCTCCATTCCTGCCTTCTTGGCTCCAGGCAAGCACTAACCTGTAGTCTCTATGGATTTACCTAGTTTCATCATTGCTTAGAAATGGAGTCTTAGGTTGACTTTGGAGATTGGCTTCTTTTACTTAGCTCTTTCCAAGACTACCTATGCATCACTTGTAGCACGTTTCAGTTTAGCATTTGTTTTTACTGCTTAATGTGTATGGACATACCATGCAGTGATATATATATATATATATATATATATATTTTTTTTTTTTTCCTATTCATTAGCTGGTGGATGTTGTGAGTTGTGTCTTTTTGGTCAGTGTAAATAATGCTGCTGTGATCATCAGCATGTGAGTTTTCGATGGACGTCCCTCCACCACTTTTTCTACAGTGTTGCCAACAGTTGTTATTGTCTGTCGTTTTGAATCACAGCTGAGCTTGTGGATGTGAAATGGTATCTGATAGTTTTGATTTTCATGTCTCTGATGACTTACAGTATTGAGAACCTTCCTGCTCATTGTGTGTCGTTTGTCCTCTGGAAGGGTTGCTCTCAAAGTAGAATAGTGGGCAGACTCTGTCCTCACCAATATAAACACTCTGGAAGGTGTTGGGGGAAGCTCTAGTTTCAAAACAGACAGTACGTTGGAACAGAAAGAACATAACTTTTCTGTCTCATTCGAAGATTTTGAAGCAGTTATTTTGATGGGTGAAATGGTCAGCTGTATCGTGGGATCCTGTGCCTGATACTGGGGATTGGCAGAGAGGCCTATGGGGAAGGGATAGTGGTGGAAGAATGGAGAACTTTGTCTAGTTCAGTCCAGAGAGGACAGGGCCAGGGTTCAGATTCAGAGTGGCAGCCTTGTGATTGCTCATGTGGTGTGAGCAGAGCAGGATTTGAGGCACTGTCTTGGCATATTTGTGGCATGTCAGGTCTCAGCTATAGAGTAAGATCCAGAAGGTGAGAAAGTGGGGCCCATGCCATAGGGTCTGGGGGAGAGTAGTGAGGAGGCGGCGGGCAGCAGCATCAGTCGCTGCTGGGGGGTAGACAGAGGCCATGTCAGTCCCCACAGAGGGCGGGTAGTTTCTGTGGAGCATCCTGCGGGATGGAGAGAGAGGGAGCAGGAGGACGTGAGGGCTGCTTTCAGTAGTGAAGTCCTCGAATGGAGTTCATTAGAAGCAGCAGCTTTTAAAATTGGACATTGAGCTCAGTTTGACTCTTCTCTTTTAATGTGTTGGCTTGTGTCAGGCTGGGCTTAGTCATCTTTTATTCTCACAACTACTGTTCCTCTTCCAACACAGTGGTACATTCCTTCTGATTCTTCCACTCTTCTGACAGGCCTGGACAAAGACTGTCGCCTAACTGAGCCGCTTGGCATGAGAATCGCAGAGTTCCCTTTGAACCCCATGTTTGCCAAGATGCTGTTGGAATCAGGTGGGTGGAGCCTGACAGCTCCTTTTGACTTTGTTTTGTTTCCAAAGAACTCATTTCCCTGAATTGTGTGTGCCAAAGGAAGAGGGACCAATTTGCTTTAAAAAGTGACAGCAGCAATAAAGTATTTATTTTTGACTGACGATGAAACGTGTATTTATAAGACATGGTGTAATGTTTGATACTTACATAGTGGAAAGCTTCTGTCCAGGTAATTAGCCCATCACTACATCATTATATTATGGACTTGTCTTAGCAATTTGATCATAATGTTAGATCACTAAAACTCACCCCTCCAGCCTGAAACTGTGTCCTTTAAGCAACATCTCCAATCTTCATCACTGCTTGCCTTCCTGGTCCTTTCCACTCTGTTTCCCTGTGTAACTAAATTGTATAGTGTGTGCCCTGTGCGTGGCATACTTACTGGGCCTAACATATTGCACTGCCATCTGCATAGTCTTGAGTGACAGAATTTGCTTTTCTTAAAGATTGTGTAATAAGTATCCCATTGTTTGCGTCATGTTGTCTGTAAGCATTCCTCTGCTACTTCTCCATTTCTGTCCACTGCAGTGGACACCAGTGTGGCTTTCCTCCCACATACCAATTTCAGTTCTTTTGGGTGTACATAGAAGCAAAGTTGCTGGATCATGTGGCCGTTCTGTTTAGGTTTCTGAGGAACATCCATGTATTTTCCAGAATGGCTGTGCTAACTTTAACTGTCTGAGAAATCATCACACCGTATGCTGCAGTGGCTGCATGACTTTACATTCTAAAGCAACACATAGAGTTAGTTTGTTTCTCTGCCGAGTTTTGTGAGGATGTTGAGTTAGGACAAGGCCTGTTTCTTTAGTTATAAGCATTTTGGTAGTATAGGAGCTGCCTCCCCCACCCTGGGAAAGCTCCTGTTATATCAAGTGGCAGTTTATGAAGGCATGCTTTAAAGGCAGCATGGGGAAAGTTAGCTCTGAGAAGCTCACCTTCCCTGAGGGATGGATTCTAAGTGCAGCTAGAACAGGCTCCATTATGCTTCAGGCAGGGAGCAGTGGGGGGCCAGGCAGGAGTGCAGTTTGCTTTGTCTAGTGTCCTGGTTAAAGAGCTGCTGCAGAATCTGTTCTCTGGAGGCAGCAGCACATCAGCAGCAGTGCAGGATGCTGTCCTGGTCACCTGGTGCTGTAGGCTTGTGCCCAGAGCAGAGGAGGACTTGGGAGAGGCAGGCCACCCCACAGATGGGCCAGGAGTGGAAAGACAGTAGGAGGGACACCCTAAACACCCTTCCCTTTCCCCTCTATGCTTTTACCTGACTCCAGCTGTCCACATAGAGGGAGGGAGCAGGCATGCCTCTGACCTGTCCTTGGTGACAGGCCAGTGTGACCTTACCCTGGCTGGCATCATGGGGCCATTCATGGCTTGGTAAGTACTCATATGCTAGGGACTTGGAACAAGAGTTATAAAATATGAACTTATTTTACATTTTACAGCATAGTACAAGGAAAACATTAGGAAATGCCCATCAATCCTTGCTGCTACATTGTCTATTTGCAGACACACCCTTTGTGTTGTAGGGAACTTCGGCTGTTCTCAGGAGGTTCTGAGCATTGCTGCCATGATGCAGATCCAGAATGTCTTTGTGTTTCCCTCAAACCAGAAGGCTCAGGCAGTAAGTCCCGCTTTTCCCAAGCTCCTCACTGCTCTTTTGCGCATTTCTGTCAAAGCTCACCTAGAAGCTGCTGCAGACGGTTGTGTCAAAGATCCTAGATTGCAGTTGAGTGAGTGTGCTATGTATTGTGGGAAGATTTCACAAGCATGGTTAGATACCTTCCTGTACACTGTGAAGGTAGATTCTGTCACCTGCGCCCAAGTGGTTTTGTCTGTTGTCCCTTTGGTTAACCTTTTAAGATCCTGTCTCATGAAGGCGACTCTGTAAAAGAGTGAAAGTGTAAAACTCCATGTCTAATGTGGCAGTTCCCCCTTTTGCAGATCTTGCTTCTAACCTCTTGTACATTGTGAGTTCTGCTTTTTTATTTAGTTTAATGCCTTCCTTCCACCACCGTTTATTCATTACTGCATCCAGATGCTTAGAACAGGGCTTGATCAACAGTGGTATTGGATAAAAGTCTGTTGTGGGCAAGGGAGGCAGGGAGGCGTTTGATTATGTGGCATTGGTTCAAGGATAAAGTTCTGAAGTAAATGACTTGTGTCCTTGCCATATGTATTGTATCTGCTGCCCCTCGACCCCAGGGAATCAGTGGTGTTATTCAGTGTCTTTGCCACAGAAAGAGGAATTCAAGGATGGAGTGAGTCTAAAGGGAGCCTGAGAGAAGGCGGTGAGCAGTGCATGGTCGGAGGACATGGGGATATCAAGCTGTCAGCCCTCTTTGAGTATACCATGTCCCCCAGCACAAGAGGCTCATGGAAGTCAACTTCTAAATGGAACTTTATCCTTTACAGACTCGAGTGCACCGGAAATTTGCTGTGGAGGAGGGTGATCATCTCACCATGCTCAATGTGTATGAAGCATTTATCAAAGTAAGCACGGCCACACTGGGGGGACCCTCCCCACACACACCTACTCTAACGACCTGAGAGCAAGATCAGAAGTTAGTCCATACATTCCTGGCTGGCAGACCCCTCTGCTCTCTGGTTAGGTAGACTGCCAGCCTCCTGCTGGAGAGGCCAGGATTGCCAGAAAGGCTAAGGGATGTTTCCCATTGTTTGTCTGGTTATTTGCTACGCTTGAGGCTGTCTGACAGCTCGACCTTCCACTGTCCCATATGTACTGTATGAGGAAAGAATGGCACCATTTGAATGGAGTTCTTCCAGACTGGACTGAGAACCACGACTCTGTGGGTTGAATCTTGAAAGGCATTCCAGCTTCCACGGGAGCATGTTCAGTGAGGCTTGTGTGTATCCACATATCCTCCTCCTGGTTAGCCATGGGCAGTGCTAATTTCCCTTTTGAGTATTCTGTGGGACTGAGAGCCATTAATAGAATTTAAATTTCTCACTTAAAGCTAAACAGCAATATAAGCTTTTAAAAGTAATATAAAGGAAAGAGAGTAATAGTTTATAATTTCAGTAATTTAGCCTATTTTAAAAAGAGAAACACCACAGTTTTGTTTTAACAGAGATTTGAGGATGATTACTCAGTAAGTGAGATACAGATGAAATCAGTTAAAATTCAAGATACAGGCAGTGTATGAGCCCTTCCCCAGGAGTATGCATCCATAGGTCTGCATTGGATTATTCTCTGGTTGTCTTCTGAAAAAGTCCTGTGTGGATTACATTTTAAAATGTTATTATGTTAAAAAATTATTTGAAAACTTTCCTCCCTTGCTTAAAATGAAATTCTAGAGGTATATTACCTCTGCAAAAACTTAACATGTGATGTAGTAGTTTGTACTCAAGGATATAGACAATTAGACACTGTTGGTAGGAAAAGTTCCACTTTGAGGACAGATAGGGATTTGAGAATGGCTTCTGTACATTATGTTGCTTCCCATAGTTAATAAAGAGATAAGCTGAAGCCCATTGGAGGGGGAGAGTTAGTAGTTACCCAGAAGCAAGGGGAGGCGGGCTGACCTCTTGTCCTGAATTCAGGTTGACCTGTGCTTGTCCTCAGTCCTGCTTAGCTTGCTGGTGTGAAGAGTGGGGCTGTGGGCCAGCAGGCAACTTGCTTGGTTGTTACCATCTGCTCTGGAGATGGGGTTGGGCAGGACTCATCAAAGCAGCGAGTGGGAAGGGAAGTAACCCTGTTGACGGCATTGGGTATTACCGTCTGACTTGGCGAATGTCTTCTCTTCTGCAGCACAATAAGAGCTCCCAGTGGTGTCAGGAGCATTTCCTGAATTACAAGGGTCTTGTCAGAGCTGCCACTGTGAGAGAACAGTTGAAAAAGCTCCTTGTCAAGTTTCAGGTGCCCAAGATGTCCAGCGAAGGTGGGTGTGGCTTGTCCCTGCCTGTGGCTTCCCTCTCTGCTTGCACATTTTAATTCCTCAAGTTCTTATGCTGGGCTGATAGGAGGCTGTGTACCTATAGCTAGTTTCACATTTTGAGCTGCCTACACCCATTCAGTGGAATCACATGGCTGGGTGTCTTTGTGGGTAGATCCGTTTTTTATTCCATGGGCTGTTGTTACCCTCTCTCCCAAATTTCTAAAGCTTGTCATTGTACATATAATTAATATAATGATGGTTGTTGAAAAAATGTACATTTTTTTGAGAGGTAGCACATGCTGACCTCAGACATACTATAGCTGAGGATGGCCTTGAACTTCTGATCCTCCTGCCCCTGAAAGTGTGTATGTTGGGTGGGCACAGAGGGTTTGTTCTACCGTATTATTTTGAACTCAGGTGTACTAAGGCTTGTCTGTAATGGCCTTTTCCTGCTGAGCCAACTCGACATCCCCAAAATGTTACTGTTAAGTGGATGAAATTCATAGATATTGCATGAAAATTGCATTTTTTTCCTCAGATGCAAGTGTTACTAAAATAGATACCATGTGTTTAGCTTAGATATTCACCAAAGGTAGGTCAGAACATGGCTATACCAGATGTCCTAGCTCGTAGCAGTGGTTGTGGTGGCCATTTGTGGAGTCCACAGTAGGTTGCACCATGTTGGGGTCTCTGCATTCTCTTTGTCTCCCACTGTATGAGGTGCAGTTGATGGTGTCCTTAGTTTACAGAGGAAGCAGGAGGTCCTGGGAGGAGTCACATGACCTTCAGGATGACATAGCTCGTGGCCAGCAGAGTCAAAGACCCAGGATCCAGCTTGTAGGGAGTGACACACTGAGTTCATTTAGCAGTCTGCGTTCATTTAGCACACTGAGTTCATTTGAAGCCTGACAGTGTTTGCTAGGCGGGGTAGCACTCTGACTATGTTGAGTGTTAATTCACATCATGCTGTCTGCACTCTGGGGATGTGAGCTGCTTTTATCCCGTGTATAGAGGGAAAAGAGTGAGCCTAGTAGGCTAAGGGAAGCCTGTTAGAGTCAGGGCCTGGGAAGTTATGTTTGGCTTTTATACTAGCAACAAGTGATTGAAAATGACAAACGTGTAGTTCACTGAGAGCCTAGCATAGTAAAGAGAGGTATCCTGTTAGTGTTAGGCTACAGGGCCTAACCATGGATGACAGTGGCAAGTGGCAGAAGTAAGTGTAGGGAAGGAGAAATCCATATGAGCTTGCCCACGGTGCCTGCTGTAGCAGGGCCCTTACAAGGACTGCCAGCTGGAGCGCATCTGACCAGGGTCCTGTCGCCTGGCAGATAAACGACAGCCTCACCTCTGCTTCTGTGTCTTCACCTGTCATTATCACCCACTGCCTGGGGGAGGGATATGTTGAATTAAAATTCTTCCTAATAAGAGGAATGGAATGCTGAGGAATGATTTTATGAAGCTGAGTTATGAGGGTCACAAAACATTATTACATGCATTTCTACCCTTTATGAAATAACCCCTGAGAACAAAGCTTGTTGTATATGGGGATTCTGACCAGCTGGAGAGAGCAGCTGCATCTGGATGGGTGGTGGGCAGAATCTAGGGCAGGCTTGAAGTTTGGCATCTCTGCTGGGGACAGTAATGACACTCAGAACAAGCAATTGCATGTAAATTACAGTGCATCTGGGAGGTTAGAGAGCAGTGAAATATATTAATAGCAGTTATGCAATTAAAAATTTAGTTACTATAGAATCACTTTACTGAGCCTGTTGGATAGGTAAACAAAGAAGAAATAAAAAACACAGGTAGAAATTTAATTTATTAAAAAGAGAAGGATATAGCGTAGCCCCCCCTTGCCAAAACATTCAGTAAGATGATTTTGTGTGTGTGTGTGTGTGTGTGTGTGTGTGTGTGTGTGTGTGTGTGTGTGTGTGTGTATGTATATTTGAGAGCCCTGTAAGGCCACTGCCTGTAGGGACCTGTTTGCCCGTGTACTGTATTGTAATTCATCAGAACTAAGATATGTATCCATAGTTATTTTATGTTCCACTGAGAAAAGAAAGGCTGCCGCTGTAATTTTGTCTTGACTTGAGTGAGTTAAAATGGCTTAGAACTGTTGAAATGGGATATTTTCAGCCATTAAAACATGATTATCCCCTGCATGGTAGTTTAGAATTCGTCTCATGGCTGTGAGCTAGTGAATGAAGATGTTTTTTATTCATGAAAGATGTGTTTGCTGTAGCAATAGAAATGTCAGTTAAGAAGGGACAGAATGTTTGGAAGTGGTGGAAAATTGCAAACTAGCTGACAGCCAGAGACAGGGCAGGGTGCTTTCGCAGTTTGTGTATTAGGGGGACAAAAAAAAAGCAGTTTCCAAAGCAGTTTCCACAGTGCTCCGAACTCACTGTTCAGTCTCGATCCTTTTTGGCCTGGGATTGTTTGGAGAGGCCTAGTTATGGGGGCAGGCTTACCTTTTCTTTACAGCCGCTGGGGGAGAATGCCGCCTTAGATACTGGGCAGTTGTCAGACATGGCAGCACAGGGTTCAGTGTGCTCAGACATGGTTTCAGGCGGCCGGGGCAGCTGGGGAGGGGCTGGGCCTGGATTCTGCTTCATAGCCCAGGGTGCAGAATGTGGGGCCAGGGTGCTGGGTCTCACCAGCCTTCTGTTACTGTCTTGTGAAGGTGATCCGGATCCTGTGCTGAGGTGCATCGTGTCAGGATTCTTCGCAAATGCAGCACGGTTTCACTCCTCTGGGGCATACAGGTAACGAGACAGAGAGCTTGGCAGAGATCAAAATTGAGCAGCTTCTACCTGACTTCAGGCCTCCTTCCAAAACTGAGTGAGGTCTGCTATCCAGCCTTCAGCGGTTTTCTCTGCTGTCTGGGAGAGTCCTAATACCCACTGTGCTCATGACACATGTTTAGGTTTATAGTGACATACCTGCATTCCAGAGGAACCATTAACAGTGGGGTATTCTAGAGAAGCCGCTTTCCCTAATGGGCTGTTCCGTAAGTCACAGACAGGCACAGGGGCTGCATTTTGTGTCTGTGGAACCCTCGGTTGTTCCTTCGCTGGTTACAGTGCCTCCTGCTGAAGGGTGTCCTCAGGGTTTAACTGTGCAGTAGGTGGTCTGGGGAACCTCAGCTTCTGTTGGGATGGGATTGTTTGAAAGGGAACCTGTAGAAGGTAGACATGATCATAAATGTGCGTAGAACATTCTCTTCCTGTGTGGTTTGTTCTGTGTGTCCACAGTTGCTGCTCCACCCCCATACTGGGATTAAGTCCAGGGCCTTGCACTTGCTAGGCAAGCACTGTGCGGCTGAGCTAACCTCATACCTTCTCATTTTAGAAAGAGGTCTTACTAAGTTGCCCAAGTTGCCCCTGACCTTCTGACTCAGGATCCCGGGGAGCTGGGATTCAGCTGTGCCCCACCACGCCCAGCCCTCTTCCTTCTCTTGCCCAATTTATTCTTGGTTCCTCGGGTGGTAGTGTTGGTGGAGGTGTGTTGAGAGAGCAGTGTCTTGTCCGTGGTCCGTGTGAAATTCAATCTACATGTATTAACACATTTGTGGAAAAGTACTTGAGTATGTAAAGTATTACAAGTCCTTTTGCATACAGTGTGCTTCTCTGCATTGTATTGTGTCTCACAGGACTATCCGTGATGATCACGAGCTGCACATCCACCCTGCCTCAGTCCTGTATGCAGAGAAGCCACCCCGCTGGTAAGCCCTCACTGCTGAGCTTGGCCCTGCCCTTTCTTGCTCATGTCTGGGTCCCCAGGTGCTCTGTTTTCTATGTGGACTTTGGTTGCCAGGATTTCTGCTCTATCAGTAATCTCCTAAACATAGACAGTACTGTAGTTATTTTTTACCATATTCTATGTATGTATACTTTTCCTGTATTCAAGACATTTTGTATATTGATACAATTTGGGATATTTATCTTGCTGCCCTTTATAGTTCTACCTCTTGTCTTGACACTTATACTCTACCTCTATTTTAGGGATTTACATGTAGGTATATGTAAATAGTTATATTGTTTAAGTATTTGTTCCTGCTTTACTCAGGAAAGTTTTAATCAGTCTTTTTAGCTAAGTTCCCGAGTATTACAGATTATCTTCACTCACATTTCCTGTACCTATGAGATTAGTCAGATATAGATGCTTAATCTTCAATCACTTCATAGACATGCAGAACATGGCATTTAAATGTTTTAATATTAGTACTCCATTGACATGAGACACTGTTGCTCCTGACAGCACCGTGCACTTTCCCGAAAATATGTTGGACACTGTTGTTGCTCCTGCTGGAGTTCAATCTCGCCTCAGCTAATGGCCTGTTGGGCATAGAATTGCCCCCACCTTGACCACTGATTTGGACATGCAGTCCTATGTGCTTGCAGGAGACAAATATAGAAGACTGCTTGACCTTGCCAAGTCAGGGTAAGACAGCCATTCTATTTCCCTGCTGTTGTTGTGGTCTGTCAAGTTCTCTTGGCCTTAGCCAAATCTGGGTGTACCAACGTCGCTGTGAGACCTAGGGTGACTGTTCAGGTGGCTTGCTGTTTCTGTCCTTGCTGCACCTTTTGGAAGTTGTCCATCCGCATTTCCTGTCTACTCTAGTATTGTTATTTTCCTTCTCAGGTCTTGATGAGGTTGAAGATTAAACTATCACAACTATTATTCTCTCTTCCTAGTTAGATATATTAGGTACTAGACTTACGTTTTCCAGCTTAGGACAACTCTATTGTAAACTCCATTATGCCCTCACCCTAGGACTAGATATGTAGGTCATTTTGTTCTCGATTTTCCTTTTCTTAGAGCACACTTGTTATTCACTGTTTTGTATATAGTTTTGTATTAAGCCTAAATCTTTTCTTTAGACTAAAAGGGGAATTGTAGTGAGGTAGTCCTTCTGTAGCACTGACCACGCCCACTGGGGGGTGGAGCGATGGGCGGAGAGGACCTGAGGAAGGAGGTCGGAGGGGGCCAGGAAGGCGCTCTCTCTTTCTGGCGTGACTCGGACAGGAGAGGATCGGGTTGAATTTCCTGGTGTTCATCTGTCTAGGTTGTAAGTTATTTCTCCCTGAATAAACATCTATTCGGCCTATTTGTTTATCCTGATCCTTATTTACCGCAATAGTACTTTACTCAATAAAATAGTCCTATTGAAGGCATGGTGGTGCATGCCTTCAATCCCAGCACTGGGAGGCAGAGGCAGGCGGATTTCTGTGAGTTGGAGGCCATCTTAGTCTACAAAGCTACACAGAGAAACCCTGTCTTGAAAAATAAATAAATAAATAAATAAATAAATAAATAAATAAGAACCTCCTTAAGCAAACTACACTGTAGCTTCTCACTCATCTCCCAGCAGGTGTCCTTTCAAGCCCTTCAAGCTTACTGTTCTTGGGTCAGCGGACCCCAGCTGGGCTTTGGTAGCAGGCAAACAGCTTGAACTCATGTAGGAGAAGGCTTCCTAAAGGGCCGTATACAGTGCCTCAGTTGGCACTGAAGGCGGCTTCTCGGAGAAGCTAACCCTTGCTCTGGGCCTGGTGACTGGCATTTTTAGGCAGGAAAGGACTCAAAAGACAGTTAACCTAGGAAATAGAGCAGCAACGCCGTGGCAGCATGAAGGAAGCACATGTCTTTGGGGAATGAGCAATGAGTTGACCACGGTGACCGAAAGGTGGCTCCAGTCTGCAGTGCAGGCTGGGAAGGCAGAGGCAAGTACAGCAGTGAGAAACAACACAGATATTTTTATGGTGCTTTTACAAGTCATGTTTATATCTCCCCAGGTCAGTGCTAATTTGGGCATTGTGTTTTGTATTTATTTCCTATTTCTGATTTATATTGTATTCTGCAGAAGTATGGATTGACAAATGACTAGACATTTTAAAGACACTTGGTCTTTTACTATTGAAAGAGCTAAGCCTTAGGGAAGACAGGAGCATGTGAAGAGAAGTTGAAAAGTAGCAGCGGTAGGGCTGGAGCCTGGGAACACTGGTGTCAGGCACATTGTACCCTCTTCTCCTGGCAGCAGCATCACTTGGAACCATGTTGGAAATGCAGGTCCTTCCCCCCTCCTCCTGAATTAGAATCAAGGGTGGGGCCCACTGTTTAAGAGAGTCTTTGGTGGTGTTTCTGATGAGTATTTAAATTGACCATGGAATGAGACCATGCTGTAAGCAGTGCAGGTCTAGAAGCTTCTTAAGTGGAGTGGATTCTAATGCTGGATTTCTAGCTGTTTCCCTGCTGAGTATATAGAAGTGCAAGAGAAACCCAGACTTCAGTGTGCGTCCCTTACCTCTCTCCATTCATCCCCTTCTTTCCCTCCTGTCCCCTCCCATCTTCTCTTCCTCCCCTCTTCCTGATCTCCCCTTTCCTCTTTCCTCCCTTCCTGTGTTGGGGGTGGACCTCCAAGCCTTGAGCATGGTGAGCATCCCAACCCTGCCCCTTCTTTCCATCAGCTGAGATTTACTGGTGTTTGAGAGACAAACTCCATGTGGCTTTTGTATTTATAGATTTGTAGCTCTTAAGGATGCCCTGAGTTAATTCTTCCCATATTTCAGGAACTAGTGTTTACTCTATGAATTCCTGAAGTCCAGGGCTTAGAAAACACGTTCCTTGCTCTTTGGTTGTGTTTCCTCGACTCTAGATAAGTCTTTTTCTTTTTAAGACATAATATATGACAGTGAAAGATGGGTTTTGACAGAGGTGTGTAGCGTGCATGCAAAATTACACTTCCTTTTGAGTCTGTTTCTCTGCTTTTTAATTAAGTCTTTACGTTCTATTCAGAGCTCTGCAAACACAGGCCTTGATCTGGCAAGGACCTTTGTGGACAGCTGGAGAGCCTTGGAAGTCATGTAGGATGTAGAGTTGTATCTGTGAAACACAGTGACTTACACTTGGGTCAGGAGGCTGAGTGAGCTGCCACAGTGTCTGTGTGTAGAGCCACACAGAGACAGTATACCCCAGCTATGGTGAGAGCAGAGACGCCTTGCCAGCATGTTTATTCTTTGTTTCAGGGTTATCTACAATGAAGTTATACAGACCTCCAAGTATTACATGCGAGACGTGACTGCCATAGAATCTGCTTGGCTGCTGGAGCTGGCTCCGCACTTCTATCAGCAAGGAACGGTAGGACTGGATGGAACCTGGCCTTAGCCAAAGAGCAGCCCTTCACAGTGTTGTCTGTGTGTGTGTTCTGTACCTCAGTACCCTAGATCATTACCCCCTTCATACCTCCCTACCCCTCCTCACACACAGAGTATGCATGGGAGACCATTACCATATCCCCAGAACTTCCTAGTGAAACCACTTTCATTGCCTTCTTATGGAAGTACAGTTAAAAACAAATCCTGCAACTCCGTAAGAAAAGGCCTTTCTGTGCAGTCAACTACATGCCTCTGCTATTACAGCAGGCCACTTGCACTTTGGAAAACAGATTGTGATTTCTTCATTTTTGTAAAAATGGTCCGATCTTTGTCCCCCAAGTCCATGCATCCTTCTAGCACGACTTAATTGAAAGATGGGTAATCATGTTTGGAAGACTGGCAAGGTAAACTACGTCCACAGGTCTCCTGGCTGGATGTGACTTATAGACTGTTTAGTCTGCATTGTGCTTTAATTGTGTGGTGGATTATCTAGTGTAATTATTTGTGTGTGTGTGTGTGTGTGTGTGTTTGTGTTTGTGTTTTTGTGTGTTTGTGCGCACGTGCTGGAAATTGAACCTAATGATTATTAATGATTGTTTTCGTGCATGCTGCCTTGAAATTATTTTCTGTTAGTTCATTTTAGTCTTTTCTCTTTTTTAAAAAAATTATTTTAATGCTTTTCAATTAATAATTGTTTTAGTATTGTATTTCATTTCTTTGTTGTCTGGACTCCTCATAGTTGATCTTGAATTAATGTCACACTGCTTAGCTATAATGTAAGAAACCTACACTAGGGTCTTGCTTTGTTACCAAGCACCCTTGTGCTACTGTTGGTCAGTATTTTATTTCTGCACCTGTTTATACTTGTTGATATGTTGTTATTATTTTTAAACAGTCAGTTGTCTCTTCAACAGATTAAAAACCAGAGCGTTTTTGTTTCCCACTGTTACTGTGGGGCCTGCCCTGCCTGAGGAACTGCTTTAGTGTGCCTTCAGCGCCGTCTGGTGGTGGAACACCCTTCCTTGTTTATTTGCAGGCGTACTGTTTCGTTTTTATTTTTGAAGGATAATTTTCCTCTGTGTAATTCTACCATGAATGAATTTTGTTGTTTTTCATTTTAATCCTTTAAAGAGTTTGTTCTGTTGCCGTCCGGTGTGCAGTGTCTCTGAGAGGCCAGCAGCCATCTTCAGGCCGTCATGTGTATGCAGTGTTTCTTGTTTCACCCTTTGTGGTTGCAGTCAGCAGGGGTTGAGCATGGCTGCTGCTCTAGGCGACACTTTTGAGGTGCCACAGACCCATTCCGTGTGTTTGTTCACTTGCTTCATTCTTGGAGAACAATGTCTTCTCCGTGAAGTTAAGGAAGTTCTCTCTGAACCCTTGTAGTATTTAATTCTTACATCAAAGAACAAAGAGTAGTTCTAACCATTACGGTTCTTCACATGTCCTAACATGGCTATTTCAGCTAGAGATTAGATGGACTGCTGGGTACGCAGTGTATCTTAGCTCTGTTGGGTTAAAGAGAAGTTACCTAGACTAGAAGAACATCTCTTCCAGCTAAATCTCGGCTGGAAACAGCAGCCTTCAGTAGGCCAAGGAAATGGTTAGGAATGCAGTCTGGGAGTGGAGAGCAGGCACAGAGGGCCTGTTCGTTACAGTAGCAGGAGGCTGCACTAAGGGAGACAGTCTCACACTTCTGGCTTTCGTGAAGCCCCTGGAGAAAAGAATTGATTGAGTTACTTTTCCTCCAGCTCAAAGTTAGTCTTCTTAGGTCAGATCCACAAGGTTAAGTCCAAAGGTGGAGCTGTGTCTTCAGGGACTCTGCAGGTTCCCAGGGGCTACCCATGCAGGGCAGGTCTGCTGCCTTGGACATGGTGCAGAGCCTCTAGACCGTGCACAGACTACAGGTTGTCAGCATGCTCCTTCTGGCGCCTCCGGTGACTTTCCATCGCTTGTTTATCCGAGTTGCTTTCTGTCGGTAGAGGCCTGAGATGCTCAAAGTCAGCTTTGTTTATACTCGGCATTCTTTCCAGTAAAGTGCACCAGAAATGGCTTGCAGGCAGGTGGTGTCGTCATCTGTTCGTGCATAAGGCCACACATGTCCAGAATTAGTTTAGGGTCAGGTCTGGTGAAGAACAGAGAGGAAAGAATTCAGAGAAGCAGCAAGCCCACAGAGACTTGCCTCAGAGAGACCCTTGTAATCTAGGAGAGCATCTGGCCTCACTGTTCGAGAACCACACGCTCCTCTCTCAGGCACAGTGTGTAGAAAGCCTGGAATCCGGCCATTTTGTTAGACCTGGGGCCTGCTGGTCTGTCAGCTCATGGCGTCAGTAGTAGTGTTCTGCTTTCTTTCAGGGCTGGCAGTTCTCAGGGGTGTTGGGAGGTCATGTTGGATGTGCTAGGTAGGACATGGGGTTTGGGCACTAGCAGTTAGGGCTGCAGCCTCCTCTTGGGAAGAGCTCCTGAGTGCTAGCTTGATTAGCTGAGGAGTCTGTGCCTTATTGACTTATGTTACTGATGGGATGCCAGGTACCCCTCCGTTGGTGAAGAGAGGCCTCTGATAGAAGTGTATGCTCATACATTCTGCCTCAAATCCATATTTGAGACTTTGTAGTAACTTGAGTTTGCCATAAAATGTGTTTTAATCCCTCAGTCCTGTCAGATGATGCCCATGGCGATGTCAGGAAGCTTCTCGTGTTGTTTATTCCTGGCCTCTTCTCCTGCAGACAGCTTTCCAAGGGGCCCAGCACTCCTTGGCACGGTCTGTTTTTTCAATCTCACCATCACCATTGATGATTCCTCTTCTCTTGCAGCACCTGTCCCTGAAAGCCAAAAGGACCAAGGTCCAGGACCAGTGAGTAGAGCTCCGCAAGTGGCTTCAGGGACGGTCTGGCACCCTTCCTTCCTCTTGTTTCCGGCACCAGCTCAGGTGGGATTGGCAGTCACTGTGGTGTGGGCTGCACCCTGTGATTAGCCCCCTCTTCCTGCTCCCATCATCATCTGCCGTCGTCACAGGGACCCTGGAGGAGTCTGAACGTGGCCAGTGTTCCGCTGCACTGCACCTAGGCCAAGCAGAAGTGGGCTCAGCTGCACTCTGAGCTCAGTCCTCGCTCTCAGGAGCCAGCACACTGCTCCGGCAGCACAATGGAGAAGAGTGAGCCGCTGAAGGCTGAAGCCTGTGTAGACAGGGCTCTCTGGGCTGCCTGAGTTTGCCTGCTGGGCCCGCGGCTGTTGACTGCAGAGGTCCCTGGTCTGTCAGGCACAGGACCCCAAACCAAGCAGCTTCTTCCTTTCCTCTGTCCATGCCCCTGCTTACCTGCAGCAGGAGACTTAGTGCCATGATGGTGAGCCATGCAGGATCACAGCCCCCCGTCTTTGTTAGCCACTTCCTTTGCAAGTGGGCTTAGCTTTCTCTCAGAGCGCGATGACACTTTCTGGTGCCAGTGTCTGAGTGCCAGGCAAAGTTCATCAACCTTGACCCCATGGGGCTCCTCTTTAGCAGGAGTTCACTACAGTTTAGATCCCCTAAACTTGTGTAGCTCAGGAATATAACTCTTGTATATTTATCTTTGTTCGTTTGCTTGCATTCTTGCAAGAACATGAACAGCTCCCCCGGGCACTGTTCACACCGCACGAGGGCTGCTTTGCTGCGACAGTGATGGCACCTCAGCACACAGCAAGGCAGACTCCTCCCCTTACCGTTTCAGTGATGTTTACTTTAAAAGCGTAGCTTAAAAGTTTATTTTTGTACTGGTTTTAGTTTGGATGTGCCACTTTTGGCACCAAACCTATGTCATTTTTATTTCCATTTTATAATGTGTAAATAGCAGTGATAGGTTGTTAATCATAATAAATCTTTCTACCCGAGGAAACATGTTTCTCCCATCTGTGGATCTCGGGGGTCTGTGTCTTAAGGTGGTTCAGTTCGTCCTTTCACGTGAAGCCTGAGAGTGGCTAAGGTATCTGCTGCTGCCATGCACAGCAGCTGGGTCTGGGGTGCACATCGACACAGAGCCCCACAGTGCACACTCAGACCTTACTTATAGAGCAACCTGAAGAGGGTCTCATTCTTGTCAGCTAGGCTCCGCCTGCTGTTTTATTGTAGTTTTTGTTGGTGCGTGCAGGCAAACCATAGTGTGCATGTGGACATATCCAGAAGCCAGAGCTAACGTCAGGTGTCATTTCCCAGATACAGCCCACCTTCTTTTTGTGACAGAGTCTCTCACTGGGGCCTGGGGCTCACCCATTCTGTTAGACTGGCTGCCAGTGAGCTCCAGGGCTCCTGTCTCTGCCTCCTCGGGGTTAGGATTACAAGTGTATACATCCACACCTAGCTGTTTACACGGCTTTGTGGAATCAAGCTCAGGCCGTCGTGGCGAGCACTTGTCAGTAGGTCCATCTCTCCAGTTCCTTTCTGGTATTTGTTATTCTAAAGGCTTTTTAGTTTTATTTTTATCTCATATGTTTTGTCTGTATGTGTATCTATACATGTATATGGCTGATGACAACAGAGTTCAGAAGAGGGTACCAGATCCATGAGTGCTGGGAGCTGGACTGGGTCCTCTGCAAGAGCAGCAGGTGTTCTGAAAGTCTGATTATTTTTTTTTTTTAAGGTTATGTTGTAGTAGAAGGGAAAAAGGCTAGAGGAACCATACCCTCAAATTCCAGGCCACAGGTCTAAGTGGGAGGCCGTGCACTCCAGAGTGGAGCATATGGCAGCAAGCCAGCTTCTCTTCTTTGCATGTGTGGTCCCAGTGCACAGTCATCTCTAACCCTCACCATCTAGACAGCTGAGGACTGCCTTCCAGCTCTATCCCACACTACCCTGCGCTACAGCCTTTCCAGGGAGAGGTGGGTCCTCACCATCAGGAGATCTGCAGCCAGGGCATCCTTCATGCATTCCCATGTGAGACCTGCATGGGCAGGCCTATGGTCCTGTTCCACAGATGAGTCTGCTGTGGATCGGAACCCACGCTGTGGCCTGATTCGTGGGTCAGTCAGCACATGTTGCCTGAGCCCCTGTCTGTGTGCATCGTGTGGGTATGAGAGTGGAGATGCTTGTCAGCAAAAGGCTGGAGAGTAGACAAGGAGGGAGGTAGGATGATGCTGGTTCTGGGTGGTGATTTGTTTATTGTATCATTATTTTATAATGTCAGCCAATTAAAAACCAATACAAAATGCGAACAAAAACACGGTGAAATCCCAGAGCCTGGAAACTGCTGGGTGTAGGCTGTGGACTGTGGGCCAGCTGGCATGGGCACTGAGCATCAACACTCCTGGAATGTAGTCCCAGTGCTGAGCAAATGGGTATCCAGCAGTGTGGGGCTGTCTGTCTGTTCCTCGCTAGAGGAATTCGTGTTATCTGGTCGTGGACCATGTCCTTCCAGCGGGCACTTTTCAGTACCATCACTGGATTTCCCTCAGTTCTGACCCATGGTGAATCAGATAAAGGAACTCTGATTAGCTTTCCATTGAAGTTCCTTAAGTCCTGGGAACTGGGAGGAAGCCAATTTGGCCTGGAGAGGACTTACCCCAGGTCCTCAATCATTGCTTTCTCCAGTGAGCAGGGCTAATGTGGGGTGAATCATGGAGATACCTGATGCTCTTGGGTGGTTGTGAACATGTTCAAGCCAGCTTTCTCCTTGCCTACTTAAGTGGCTCGCAGAGCAACAGGGAGCCTTCTGCTTCTGCATATACACTTTGCTGCTTGTGGTCTCTATTGGGGGGGGGGGGGAAGGGATGTGCGAGACTGTAGCACAGTGGTTAATCCAGCAGGTGAAGACCCAGTTCTGGTTACTGCTTCAGGCTTCTCAGGCCTTGTCTGTTGATAATGCCACAGTCACTGGCTTTGAATACAAAGGTCCCTAGTCTTTGTTGGTCTCAGCTTGGTAGGCGAATCAGCACTTCACCCAAAGGTAGCCAGGACTCCTGTCTGTGGCCTCACCACCGATGTGGCCCCTGCATTGGGACACCAGGGACCTTGAGAGCAGTATTGGCTGATAGGAACTTAATAGTCCAGCCTTTTCTGCATATTCTAGTCTTTTTCTTGATTGCTTCATCACCCCATTTTAATTTAATTCTTTATTTTTACTGTGTTGTGTGTGTGCACCGGGCACACGTGAAGGTCAGAGGGTAACTTAGGTGTTGGCCTTTACCTCGCTTGCTGATGTGTATGCCAGGCTAGCTGTCCTGCAGGCCTCCGGGAATTCTCCTGTCACCTTAGGAGTGCTGGGACTACAGGTGCCTGCTATCCTGTCCAGCCTTCTGTGGGCTCTAGGGATCTGAACTCAAGTCCTTGAACTTGCAGGACGAACAGCTTTATCTGCTGAGCCATCTCCCCAGCCCTCATCACTCTTTTTTAAGGTGCAGTCTTGGTACATGTAGTGTTTGCTCTGCCCTTGGCTGCTGTTTCTTCTCCTTGTGCTGGGCTGTGTCCCTTTACTTTCTACCCCAGCTTCTGCGTCTTTTCCCCATAGCATGAAGTCCTTAATAAAAGAACACAGGTTATTTTATTTATTTTATACTCTTTTAACATATTTCCTTTAACATTTGTTTTAGTCTGTAGGTCTTTTCTATATTCATTTGTTTCTTCAAATTTGAACACCGGAGTACAAAAAGGGGTTTTTATAGTTTTTTCATGGCTCTGTAAATGTTTTGTTCATTTAATATGTTGGGTTTGAACAAGCAGTTCACCTCCCGTTTCTCTTCTCTTCTACTCTAGCTGAATTTGCTTTGGGAGTTGGCAGGAGCCTGAATGTATGCCTGGGAGCTGGGAGATGGCATCTGCAGTGGGGTGAGAGCAGCCAAGGGTTAGGTGTCAGGGCCACACAGACAGACCCGAGGCCCATCCAACCAACCAAGAGAGTCAGGCTGCCACCAGAGAAACGTGCTAGGACGTCAATTACATGTTCCTCTGTGTTGCCCATGCGCAGACCGAGGGTAGTAGGAGGTGGGCTGGGTGGAGGCCACTGCACTGGAGTCCAGTGCCAATCAGCTCATCACAAGAAGTGTGTGATCCACGGCCCAGATTTCTGCTTCTCATGCCTTCCTCCTGGATCTTCCCCAAGTCCACAGCAGGTATGTGGCAGGGTGCTCCCCCAGGGAGGTTGAGTGGCTGTGGGAGGGTGTGCAGGGGCAATGTGGAGGATGACACCCACCGAGGTGTGCTACAGAGGGCAGCGTTTTGACACCGCATACAGTAACAGACATTGGAAACGGCAGAGTGGAAAAAGTGAGAAACAGATGTGACTGTCATTTACAGAGTGGAGAACACACACCCATCAAGGGTGGTACTGACGTTGTAGAAGCATGGACAAAGCAGGGAGAACCGAGTCTATGATAGGAATGCTAACACCAAAGAAGGGGTGTGAAAGAAGGGGTCTCTTGGGGCTGGAGAGTTGGCTCACTGGATAAGCACCTGACTTTAGAACATAGCACCACATAAAAAGCTAGGCATGGCTGCGCATATGCCTTAACCCCAGTACTGTGTGGCGTGGAGACAGGAGGATAGCTAGCACTTACTGGCTGTGTGGAGCTACCTTCTGTGGCCTGTGTGCATACAGCTATACATGTGGTCACACACCCGTACACACACACTTACCCACAAACACAGGTACAGACAAAAAGGGCCCTCCACCCCCCTGTGCTCATCTGGAAGTTGATTGCCTTTTGGGGACACGCAGTCCTTCTGATCCAAGTTTTCAGATGTGCTTATTGGTGGCTCCTGTGGATCATAGGATTGGCAGGAGTCACATCTTCCATGGATGGAAGAGCTGGCTGTGTTTCCAGGCATAGGGTACCTCATTTCCTTGCTCTGCACTACCAGGGTGGAGTTAATTTTCAACTGCAATTGGAAAGCCAACAACAGCAGCTGGCACTAACCCCCCCCCTCCCCCAGGTAGAAGTGAGCTCACAGAAAAATCCTTTCCATGTTCATGGCAAGCAGATTGCTGACCCTGGTGGGAGCTTGTGCAATTTCTGCAGACCCGGCTTTTCCATCTGCATTCCCCAAATAGGAGGCAGCTTCAAGATGTGTTCACCCAGTGTAGACACACAGCCTCTGTCTTCAAGACAGAAGTGATGTGTTCACCCAGTGTAGACACAGCCTCTGTCTTGTTGGCTTCAAGTTCCAGCCTTTTTCCTTCTGGGTTTTCAAGACAGGGTTTCTCTGTGTGGCAGTCCTGAGCCCTGTCTGTCCTGGAGCTCACTTTATAGACCAGACTGGCTTCGAACTCACTGAGATCCCCTGCCTCTGCCTCCCAGGTGCTGGGATTAAAGATGTGTACCACCACCACCCAGCTTTTTTTTTTTTTTTTTTTTTAAAAAATTTTTTTTTGTGTGTTGAATTCCATGGGACTGGAGTTAGAAAGTTGTGAGCTGCCATGTAGATGCTGGGAATTAAACTCAGGTCCTCTGGAAGAACAGCCAGTGCTCTTAACCACTGAGCCATCTCTCCAGCCCTTCCAAGCCCCAACTTCTAATGAGGGATAAGTTACGTATAGTAAACACTCACTTTATTGGGTAGCCACTGAGTTTTGACAAAATACACTGCTACTGGTCATAATCAGATTAACAGTATCGACACCTAAAATGTTCCCTGGGAATCCTCTGTGGTCATGGTGCCCTGTTTCTGCTTTTGGTCCTGTGCATTTGTATTTTTTCCTAAGATTCCCTGTCCCATGCCTGGGTTGGTTATCTTCATGGTCAGCTTGACTAGATGGAGAGTCACAGGAGACATCATGCCCTAGTGTGACTGCAAGAGCATTTCAGGCAGAGTTTAGCTGAGGAAGGAAGACACACCCTGAATGAGGGTGGCTCCATCCCATGGACTGGGGTTCCAGACTGAATAAAGAGAAAGGATGCTAAGTGCAAGTGTTTGTCTCCAC